AAGCTCCCCGCCGCTCTGTGTCAATCAGCTGTTTGGCGGCACAGCACAGTAGTCTGGACGCACCACGGTCGACAAGGGAAGATTTGTTGACCGCTTCGGTAAACCTCATTTCACGAGGCATAATGGAGTGGTCGACAAGGGAAGCCCTTGTCGACCATGGTGCGTCCAGACTACTGTGCTGTGCCGCCAAACAGCTGATCGGCACAGCGCGATGGCCATTTTGATGTAAATGAAGCAGTGATTATTTAAATCGCTGTTTCATTTTCCTATCTCCAGTAAACTCATCTACATGGCTCCATCAACGGAGCCATGTAGTCTAGACATACCCTTATATGTACGCTGCTAAAGGATTTAGCATTAGCAAGCTGAGCTTTTTCAAAGAGCCTAAATTCCCTATTGAAGTTGAAGTTACCCAAATCCCCTGGAAATTCAGTGGGAACTAAGTGCTTTGCTCCCTTAGGATCTTTTAAAAATCCCAGCTGTAAAGTACAGTGAATAAAGCTATGCACTGCAAAGCACTGCCATTTTCTGCTGAAACTGAAGTTTCTTTTCATTTTCTGTGTTAACAATCCTGCTCATTTTTTTAAGCTGGCAATGCAAATATGTTAGTGCTGGATTATTATTTATCTGACATGCTTAGTAATATATTATGCTCTCATGGAAATATGGAGGGAAAGCATCTTTAATGGGAAGATGATTTTCATTATAAATTATATTCAACTAGATTGGCTTTAGATTCCCAAGGGATGCTAACAAAAGGCACAGGTTTGATGCAAAACACCTACCCAATGAATTCTGCTTGATGGGCAACCCACACATACACTTTGTCAATATGTGTCTCTCCTTATATCCTTTCCCCATGCCCACTCCCATGCATTCACTGTGCCAGGAGCTGTAAATCCATTCTCAAAACCCATTTCTTTAATGAATCCTTTGTGCAAGTAAAGGGAGCTGCTACAGATTTTTGTCTCTAAACATGAGAGCAGAAATTATCCCTTGGTCTCTAGTGGGAGAATTGGCCTGGTGAGCTAAGAGCAGTCAGAGAAGAGATTCACAGCACAGACTACCCTAGAATCCTAATCCCAAAGCTCTTTGGGGCAGCCTTGTCTTCTCCGCCTATCATTTTCCAACAATACATGAAGGCTGCATCTAGATTGGCATGATTTTCTGGAAATGCTTTTAACGGAAAAGTTTTCTGTTAAAAGCATTTTCGGAATAGAGCGTCTAGATTGGCACAGACGCTTTTCTGCAAAAGCACTTTTTGAGGAAAAGCATCAGTGCCAATCCAGACGCGCTTTTCCGCAAAAAAGCCCTGATCGCCATTTTCATGATCGGGGCTTTTTTGCAGAAAACAAATCTGAGCTGTCTACACTGGCCCTTTTGCCCGAATGGGAACAGCATAATATTTCCTCAAAAAGCACTGATTTCTTACAGTAGGAAGTCAGTGCTTTTGTGGAAATTCAAGTGGCCAGTGGAGACAGCTGGCACGTTTTTCCGGAAAAGTGGCTGATTTTCCAGAAAAATTGGCCAGTCTAGACACAGCCGGAGTGTTTTGTCATTCAAGTAGATTATTTTTGTTCTTGCTAGACTCTCCCCTTTTCCTAAGGCTTTCTCTGCATTACCAATCCAACCATGTCAGAGGCTCAGTGAAAATACAAGTGTCTCCTGACTTTGAGTTTACATGCCTACATTTTGTAGCAGATATGTGGCCATGCCTATTGCCTGAAACTGAATTAAAGTTATAAAGCAGGTCTAATATATGTGCAAAACATGGCCAAGACCCTCCCTACACTACCAAATGAAACCATGCTGAAGCCAAGCCTTGGAGCAGTATGTCATAACTGGAATCTTTAGACCACTATATTTTAATATAGGTGAGGCACTGTAGAACATAAGTGTACCAGGTAAACATCTCTTTGGTCAGCAGGTAATGCATTTGGATGAACATTGATTTCACATGGGGACAGGACAATTTTATACATTTTTATGTAACATGAACATTTATATTACATGCAGGTAAGTTGGAAAATAAGATCCTTGCTGTTTCACAAGCTGAAGATCAAGTTCACGATCAACATGCTACTATAGCTACTCAAACACTTGCACTGTATTGGTCATTAATATTAAACTTCATCTGTTTATACCTTTTCTTGAAGGGGATCCCTCAAACCAGGTGATAAACATACCAGCTTCATTGACGCTGAAATTAATGTTGGGACGATTAGTAAAGTTAAATTTCTTTGGAACAACCATATCCTAAACCCAACCCTACCCACACTGGGAGCAGCAAAGGTCACAGTACAAGCTGGAGAAACTAGAAATGTGTATGTATATTTATTGTGAAAATCTAAAATTATTTAGTTGATACAAGGTGAGTATGACATATGAGGGTAACAATGACTGCACAAGAATAAGTATTTAGAGCATTAAAATAAAAACAAAAGGGAAAGTTTTAATTTCCTTTCCCACAAGATAGCAATTTAGCTTACTGGTACATTAAATATTTGTCAGATATTGTCAAGAAATAATTATAAACACTTCAGTGTTTGGCTTCAACAAGAACAAAGTTTTTATATAAGCCTCTGTGCTTTGGGTAGGAAAGATTGATTAACTGTGGTCAGGGGTGGCCTATGGCTATAGGTGGACTCGGCCCCTGCCCGGGGTGCCCGATGATGATGTCACGGAGGTGGTCGGGGCGCCTGCCGATTACGTCAGTCCATTGATGGCCCTGCAGGCGGGGGCACCGATTGCACATTCCGCCTGGGGCGCCAGCTGCCACAGCCAGTCTCAGGCCACTCCTGACCGTGGTTTAGGTAATCAGCATAGAATCATAGAATCATAGGACTGGAAGGGACCTCAAGAGGTCATCGAGTCCAGCCCCCCGCCCTCAAGGCAGGACCAAGCTCCGTCTACACCATCCCTGACAGATGTCTATCTAACCTGTTCTTAAATATCTCCAGAGAGGGAGATTCCACCACCTCCCTTGGCAATTTATTCCAATATTTGACCACCCTGACAGTTAGGAATTTTTTCCTAATGTCCAATCTAAACCTCCCCTGCTGCACTTTAAGCCCATTACTCCTTGTCCTGTCCTCAGAAACCAAGAGGAACAAATTTTCTCCTTCCTCCTTGTGACACCCTTTTAGATATTTGAAAACCGCTATCATGTCCCCTCTTAATCTTCTTTTTTCCAAACTAAACAAGCCCAGTTCATGAAGCCTGGCTTCATAGGTCATGTTCTCTAAACCTTTAATCATTCTTGTCGCTCTTCTCTGTACCCTTTCCAATTTCTCCACATCGTTCTTGAAATGTGGCGCCCAGAACTGGACACAGTACTCCAGCTGAGGCCTAACTAGCTCTTTGCTAAGTTCACAGGTATCAGGCTATTGGGTACTGCAAGTTTTATACTAAGATGGCCAACAGTGGGGGTCTGATCCATTAGCCATTGAAGTCTTTGGGAGTCTTTCCACTGATTTTAATGGGTGTTGGATCAGAATCTGGGGCTATGTCTACACTGCAATGCTATTTCAGGATACTGGAGTATCCCAAAATAGCTATCCTACATCTTCACAGCAAGCCTGTTATTTTAGGCTCGCTATCCAATGTCCCTGTAAACCTCATTCTGTGAGGAGTAAGGGATGTTTCGGAATAGTGCTTTATTTTGAAATTTGGTGCTGCATAGACAGCACCAAATGACAAAATAAGCTATTTTGAAATAGCATCAAAATAAGATATGCAATTTGCATAGCTCAGTTCTCACAGACCTACTAGTAATGATTTATGTTTTAAAGGCCTGATCCAAAGCCCAGGAAACTCCACTAATAGATTCCCAGTGACTTCAATTGGTTTTGGATCAAGCCCCACAACTGTAGACTGGAAAAACAATGTACTGCATGACAGTTACTAACTGGAAGATACTTGTTACTTTTTTTAAAACAGCATATTTCAGTTATCCACAAATGGTTTTTTTTTAACCTTTCCTGTCCTCCTGAATGAAGACACAATGAAGGGGGAGGTACATTAAATGGGTCATGGATATAATTAAGATCACATAGCTGAAGCCCATTCACTTGAAATAGATATGTGGGAAGAGATTCACTTGGAATAGAAATGAGGAAATCTCAAGCTGACAAAAATGTCCACAGCATCATGAACTATGGTAAAGCAGAGTGTACAAGTCCTCTTCTGGTTTTTACATTTAACAGATCAACATGTTGATGGATGCTAATCCCATAAATGTACCCATCAGCTATTCTATATACTCATGTCCTGGCATCTCTCTAGTGCTGATGACATGCAAATTCAACAAGAAAGGTATAAAACTGAAGGAAAGAGGCTCACCAATCATGGTGAATAGTTTGGTGTTTTAGTAGGAAATGATATTTCACAGCTAGCAATCCAAAGCATTTGCATGTTCTTTTGTGCCAATGTAACAATATTCTACCACAGCTTTGTCAAAAAATAAATTAGGTTGGCTTATTCTATTGCAAAATCACTGGCACAGTTACAAAAAATAAATCTAGACAATTAAAAGACCTTACATACTTTGTTTTTCTCCACAGGTTTAATTTTTGTAGCAGTGAAACTGTGCGAGAGAATGTTCTGCTAACTCTTACATCTTGCTAACAACATACAAAGATGTCAGCTCTGTATGTTAATATTAATAAAAGTTAATCATACATAACAGCCTCAATGGCTAGATGTAATGTTTTATCGTCATTATTTGTACTGTGTGAGAAACCAAAAGGTGCTACCTACTATCCAAATGTACAAGAAGAAATGGTCCCTATGTGGAAGGGCTTACAATGTTCAAAGAGGCAAACATATGGGGTGAAGGGTACAAGTTTATGATATATAAGCACAGAGATCAGGGAGTTTATTAACTGTTAAGGAAGTGAATTAGTTCTTTCAAATCAGAAGACATACTGAAGTAAATCCTAACCTCAGTTACTCCTATGAAACCCTATTAAAGTAGAAGTCAGACAGAAGCAAGTGAACATGGACAGACTGTAGATGAAGAAGCAAAGGAAAAGGATGTTTGTGAAAACATAATTTTTAATTACTCTTATGATCCTGCTTGCTATGGGCAGTCACATAGGTTCCAATACTTACTTGGTTTATGCAGGCAGGGACTTAAGTAGTATGAGTGTTGGGGGGAGTCTAAAAACCCAGGGCCCTTCCACAGGACACTCTATTCACTTGCCTACTGAGCATGTGACCTCCCCAAGATAACAGGAAGAGAGATATGTACATGTGAGACATCCATAGCACATGCAGCAGCAGAGTGGCTGCCACTCCGTCTATAATCAATCACCAGTAGCCATAGCTTGGTTACATGAACACTGTAATCTGCAGCTTGATGCAGCTTGCATCCTCTTGGTATTGCAGCACCTGCTCCTTTTTAATTACAAAGGGACTATCTTCCTTCAGCGACTCCTCCTGCAGTACCTTCTACTGGGTTATTAACTTCCTAACATAGAGGGAGATTTTCTCCTTTGTTTTTCATTCCTCATGGCCTGATATAAGCAGATACTTGCCTACACTTTTGTTTTGACAGTGGTGATATTCTCAGCATTATCCTCTGCCATAGCCATCCAGCAGACCATATAATTTTAACAAGTACCTAACAGAATCAGGACATTAACATTGACAATAGGATAATAAAAAGTCCTTCTTCAATAATGAACTGGAGTAGCTTTTACCTTGTTTTAGCAGAACAAAACTGAAAGCAGAACAAAAATACTTTACAAAGCTGTTACATAAAGTGCATTGTTAAATGAACAACAAATTACTCTCCTTTTTGCTTGCTTTTAAAGCTAATGGTGCTATTTATTCCTGACCTTTTGAAATATTAAGATTTTTAAAATGACAACATAAAAAGAATTCTTGTTTGAAAACGCAAGTGACTTTAAACCACATGTTATTACTTCTAAGTATAGCATGTGCATGCATCATTCATTTCAGTGTCCCATTTATAGCTAATTGGTATATATTTCAGTTGACATATATTGTTCTCTTGCAAACGTGTCAAATTCTGTAATGATGTCAGTGACAAAAGCATAGTGCTTGAGATATATAAATTACGCTCTTTACCATATAATCACTCTTATCTATTAGAAATGCTGTTTGTGACAACTTATGTTCAAAATACATACTGGATTGATTTTTTTAAACTTTAATATCACACCGTTCATGGCAAATCTTTGACTGAATCTTTAAATGCAGAAATGTTTTGGGTATACTGGCATCATTTCAGCAAAGTATTTTACTGCATTTTAAAAAGTGACTTTGTTCAGCAAAAGAAGAGAAATACAACTTGGACCTCCAAATATCTCTTTTGTTATCAACATAAGAAAACACACGGTTGTGTGTGGGGAGTTATTTGATGACTAACACCTTACACTGTAGTTTACCTTTTATAATCTCTGCTAGAAATTACTATTATTTTGTTGGTGTGCAGTATTATCATTAGAATTTCAAATATTGGAGACAAAACAGCTTATGTATTTTCATTACATTTTAGATTGTCCTTGTCCTGGGCTATGCAGTCTCTCTCACATATACAATAGTGCTGTATTTTCAGCTGTCAGTTTTTTTTTTTAAATATTGGACTAGAGTAAGCCTCATGGCATATACTGTATTCTGTAAATGAAGGAATGTGTCTTCTGCTCTGTAATACTAAAGAGGGGCTATTCCTTTGGGAAGCAGGAGCAGTGTTAAGCCAAGATTCTAGTAAAAAGAAGTTCTCTGGCATTCATTAAATCTGTCCTTTTCTTTGTGTTGTGATGGGCTCACTTTCAGAAGGGAGCAGAAGAAAGAACAATCTCTAAATCAATCCACCCAGGTTTATAAACCGTCAGCACCAGCGTGGGAATATGAACACAGAGGCCATAATTCAGCAAAGCACTTATGAATGTGCTTAATTGCCATTGAAATTAATTAAATATAAGCATCTGCTTGAAGTTAAACATGTTTAAAGTGATTTTCTGAAGTCGGGGCTTTATAATTAGAAAGTGGTGAGCCACATTGTTAGCACGGGGAAATTAAAATCAGGGATTGTGATGTTAACAAAGTGGAATCTGACCAGCCTGTCCTGTGCTGAAGGTGCCGACCTGTTCCTTTGAGCAGGGTTTATCACTTGTGGTTAACCATTCAGGTTACCCCTTCCACCAAATACCAAGGAGAGGAGCTTATGGGATAAACCAAGGAAGTATGTATTAGAGATTGAGTACAATGCTAGAGAGAAAATGAGGGGGAGGGAGAGTAGAAGCAGAAACACAACAATGAATAACATGAAAGAAACTGTGATACAGTGACTTATCACAGGGGTATGAAGCCCAGGCCCCAACTAAGAAATCTCAGCCTGTGAATAACAGGTAAGTAAACTCCAATACAAAGTTTACCTGATCTGATGACAGATTGTGGATGCCACTGAGAAGGTTAGGCGTTTAAGACCCTCAACCTGTAGGCTCTTTAGAGCCCTTTGGAAGACAACTGAGGAGTCCCTCTGTTTTTGCTTGGATGGAGAAAAGTCACAGATGACAGATGGTTTGCCAGTAAGTAGCTGATGATTACTGATGGTGTCAGGGTGCACGCCCCCACCGTGCCTCAGTGCCCCCTGACTGTCCTCATCTAGCCCCTCTCAGGGAAAGTTACAGTCTGTATGGGTTGCTCATCATTGGCATTGGGTTATCTCTACTGCCCCGCTTACCTAAGCCACGTTGTGATCTGCCTCCAAACCCTAGGCCTTGCCTCCAGTCCCTAGCCAGGAGGAGTCTTAGCTGGCCTTCTCCCAGCCCTCGCTGGCTATCCCCAGCTGGTCTCCCTCCGGGGATCTCCTGCTTCCTCTGCAGTCAGCCCTTCACTGGCTCCCCCCTAAGCAAACTGTGCTTCTCTATATAGCTGCCGGCTGGGCCCTCAGTTGCCCTAATGGCTTCAGCTGGCCTCTCCAAGCCAACCGTGCTGCACTAGATCGCTGCCAGCCGGGCTCTCCCTAGCCCTAACAGCTTCATCTGGCCTCTCTGTTCCCAGTCCCGGCTCAGGGCCTGAGTCCTGGTCTTAAAGGGCCAGTGCAGGGCAGGCGCCCTGTCACAGATGGGAATGTCTCTTCTTTTCTCCTTCTCTAACAGGTGCTGATGGATTATCCTCTGTGATGGCTAAAAGAGAACCTGTGCTCTCGCTGCTTCTGGGGAGGACAGAAGCCAGCCGATGTCACTTGAAGCCTTTTAAAGATTTCCTGGTGGGAATCAGAGATGAGTGAACCTCTTGGAACAGGTGGAAAATTCTGGATGGATCCAGTACCCAAAGGGTGCGCCTCAACTGCAAGGTTTTTTCAGAAAAATGGCTGTTTTTCTGAAAAAAGGTTCACTTCCGTTCACATTGCTATTGCGTTCTTTCAAAAGAAAATCGAAAGAATGCAGGGGTTTTTCCGACATTGGTAAACCTCATTCTACGAGGAAGAACGTCTTTTCTGAAAGAGCTCTTTTGGAAAAAGGCATGTGTGGATGTGGAAGAGAGAGTTTTTTCAAAAGAAGAGGAAAGAGAAAAAAGCACAGATGCCCTGGTGGCCATTCCGTCCATAGTAATGTCAGCTTAAACTGAGAGAGAGCATTCATTCAGTGAGGATGCTCTCTTTCGAAAAAGCAGATCACTTTTTCAATGTGCTTTGGCAGTGTGGACGCCCTCTTTTGGAAGAAGTTTTTTCAGAAGATCTCTTCGGGTATGTCTACACTACCCCGTTAGTGCGAACTAGCGGGGTAATGTATGCATACCGAACGTGCAAATGAAGCCCGGGATTTGAATTTCCCGGGCTTTATTTGCATAAGCCGGCCGGCGCCATTTTTAAATGCCGGCTTGTTCGAACCCTGTGCCGCGCAGCTACACGCGGCATGGGGTTCGAACAAGTCGGCATTTAAAAATGGTGCCGGCCGGCTTATGCAAATAAAGCCCGGGAAATTCAAATCCCGGGCTTCATTTGCACGTTCGGTATGCATACATTACCCCGCTAGTTCGCACTAGCGGGGTAGTGTAGACATATCCTTCCAGAATAGCTTCTTCTGAAAGAAACCCGCAGTCTAGACATACCCTAACAGTCACTGAATGTTCCAAAGGGGGCAAAGCCCAAGATGGAGTCCTGGAATCAAAGATTGTCGACTCTACGTTGTTAAACACAAGCCACTGATTTTCAACTTTACAACCACTCATAGTAATACAGATTAGATGACAAGGTTTACAATATACATTGTTCTTGCTAAACATAACCTCTTTTTTTTCAACCTCCTGCTCAGTTGCGTTCTTACACGAGGCAGGAACAGAGGGGAGAGGGAATGGTGGTTTTAAGCGCTGATATGGTTCACTTCATCAGCCACAAGAGTATTAAGTTTGCGGTGCGTGAAGAGGTGCTCCTACCTTTTGTGTGGCATGAAGTACCTCTATTCAAAGCCTTTGGCCATGAGCAGTAGGGATGCCGTACTTTGCCAGAGCATTTTTGTATTGTTTTGAATGCTCTTTAACAGGGGTAAAGCCACTTTGGAGGGGGCTTCCTGGGCTAGGATGTCTGCATCTTGAATGGCCTCCTCATTCTGAAGATGCAGGTTCTGTGCCACTTACCTGAGGAGGTCTTGGTGACTCTTGCTGCCCATTGCTGGGAGCATCGTGGTAGAGGTGCTGGCTATCACCTTGTCCAGGGACGAGCATGAGACTCCTCTTGGTCTGTACAGCTCCCTGGAAGTTGGCCCTGGCATTGTCATTGGCTCTATGGCAGTCTCAGGTGCTGGCGTAGCACTAAGTAGTAGTGCTGTAATAGGGGTCTTCAGTGCTGAACCCCATTCCCTTTGCATGGATGGGTTCTCCTCCACCCTTTGAGTCTGATGCCAGTCAGAGGTGGTGGAAGGGGGGAACATAGGGCATGGATGCCAGAGACATGGTCCTCAAGGCTTGCCCCTGAGCCTGATGGCATCCAGAAGGGCTACTGGATGAGCGCTTGCCACCACTGCAGCCATGATGGCATCAAAGCCAGCATGTCCTGTGATCTACAGTTCTAGGAGCAGTGCTGGGATTGGTACTGTCCACACCTACAAGTCAAAATCTGTATACCCAAGTCTGATGAATAGGCCAAGTCTGACCATGGTGGTACCCAGCATTGGAGATAAGCGCGGTATCATTATAGGCTTGCCCTGCACTGGACTGCCGGTGCCCCTGAAGATGCCACAGAGGTCACCGGGAACCACATCAACTAGGGATCTGTGCCCAGGTTTACATCTGTAGCGGTGCTGGTGCTGGAGCCAGCATCAGTGCCCTTATGCTGTCCTACTGGTTAGATCCTTGACAGCCTCTAAGGTGTTTGGTGTGGAGGGGAGGTGCAACTCTTCCTCCAGGTCCTCCCTGCCTGGGAAGCCCACCAGCACTGGACTCAACAAGCCCTGCAGTGGGACCAGAGTCGATGGTGACAGGATTTGATGCCCTGACTTAGGGCCTACCCTACTAGGATCCTTCTGTGGCTGTTTGGCTGGGGACCGACCTCTGTCTGTTTTCGGTTTCTTACGCAGCACTGGGGAGTGAGAACGGTGCTGCACCCTCAAACTCACCTGCAGTGTGGGGACTGGTGTTGGTGCCCCCTCACAGAATTTTTCCTTGGTGCCAAGAGGTCCCGTACTGAGCCTGGTGCGCTGCTCACCACTGTTGCCAGTGCTGAGGCCAGTGGCGTTTGAGGGTGAAGTGCTGCATCCATTTGTATGAACTTTAGGTGATGGTCATGTTCTCTCTGTGTCCTAGGCCGGAAGCTCTTGCAAATAGGGCACTTAGCAGTTTGAGGGCCTTTTGTGAGGCATTTGAGGCATGAAGTGTGCAGATAGCCCTTGAGCATAGGCTCCCCGCAGCTCTCACGGGATTTAAAATCCTGAGACTGCAGCATGTCCTGGTCAGGAGAACTGAAAGTGGGGGGAAGACCCCTGAACTAACTGAATCTAAGTACTACAACTAGAGAACCTAATTATGTACAAATACAACTAACTATGGATATCACTAACAGCGCTTGCAAAGCAGGAGCACGAGGAAGCTCCAACAACCGTCACTGGCAACAAGGAACTGAAGGGGCAGCAGGTCAGGAGTGATTTATATACTGCACCACGCCAGGGGGCTGCACAGCTAGCCCATCGGGAACCTACCAGTGATCATGCATGTGGTGTGCACACACCTGTTGGAATGTACAGCACTCAAACTGTCAAGGGAGAATCATCCTCACTGTGTCTCTCATTGAACTGGAATAACAAGCCAGATCAAATACCTACTGAGAACCATGGGCGTCTTTTCATGGTTGTCACAGAGCTTTCCCTTGAGATCTCATGAAAACATGTCTCGCTATACTTGCCACATACACGTTGAACCTCTCTAGTCCAGCACCCTCGGGACCTGACCAATATTGAACCAGAGAATTTGCCGAGCCGTGGGAGGTCAATATTGTCCAGCAGTATTACCAACACCTTTACTGCTTACTGGGCTCTTAGAAGACATTTAGGAGTAAATTAGAGCTACATAACAGCACAGAGCACCGAGAGCCAGGACTGTTAGCTGTAAACAATCTTTATGGGATCATGGAAACTTGGCCATAACCATAAGAGGACATCCAGCTAATTAAATTCATGCTGGACCACAGATGTTGCCAGACCAGAGAGTGCTGGACTAGGGTGTTTCAGTCTATACTATGAAACCATTGAGGTAAAGGAGATGGTCTTGTTCTACTTCCCTGTTAGCATCTTTACTCAGGGATGTGTTGGGACCAGAAAGACCACTTACGCCACTGAAGAATAATTCTCCTTTTGACCCACTGATGAAGAGGTGCCTAGTAAAAATATATGATCACGGACAATCTGAACCATGTGTGAAGATAATTGTCTGATCAGATAATGGAATTGTTTTCAGTGGTAAGAATGAATCCATTACTAATGCAAATAACGCTAATAATTATAATTTGCAATACTTTAAAAGTCACCTAGTCTACCTCCCCCTCTGACAGGAGACTATAATAAATTATAGGCTGAGAAAAAAATCAAAGGGATAAAGGTTAAAAGATTTTTAAAAAAGAATTGAAACTTAAATGCTTAACAAGGAAGTCAAAGATGTGAAGGCAGAAATTAGAGCTATTAAATTATGCATTTGTAAAGAATTAGATATTATAGAATTGATTAGCAAATCTAAATCTACCGTCCCCTCATAACCCTACTGGGTCACAGATTTTGACAAGTTTGACAGAACAAATTGTCAAAGTTCAATATATAATATGCAAGCTAATTATTTATATTGTAGATATGCCTCACTTACCAAATGAGAATACCAAAAGGATAATGGAGTTGAATAAAGTTGGGGCACTTCATTCCTTGCTTTGCCCCTTCTTTGATTTAGTTTCTAAACAGCTCTATTTGACCAACATGGTTCTGAACAGGAAACATATCAACAGATATTAGCAGAGCATGTGTTATGATCTAGATATTCTTTCCCAGTCTTTTTATGCATATCAGGCTTCTGGAGGTCTGTCCAAGTGAAAGTCCTTGCTAAGAGGACCAGGGAGCAAGAATTTCTGGGGGAGGAGCGCAAAGCATTCCCATGGGACAGCAATCAGGATTCAGCTCACTAATTACATTAGGCAGACATGTATCACTGTTCCTAACAATGGTTCAGTTCCACTTGTGTGTTGGTCTTCCTGAAACACAAGTGTAGATTGGTCACTAGCTTTTGATACCATTTTAAAGAAGATGCTCATTACAGCTGAATCAGAAAAATAGTGAGCTTTTGGGGCTTGAAGTTGAGGATAAATGGGAATTCTGAGAGGTTCTGATAAAAAATCATATGATCCCCGCCCATGACTCTGAATACAATGAAGTTCAACTGATTGGCTCTAATACAATCTGCTGATCTATTTCCCCACCACCACCTTTCTCATTTTAGGGTCATGTTTCTCAAAAGGTAGGGCTTCCATAAAGGAGCAGAAGGACATGCTGGGGTGGGGAAGAGTGCGGAAGGTATATAAATGAAGACATGGGTTTGATTAAAGGATGTAATGACTTCTGTTTTCCTCAAAAACTTTGGACTCAGATTCCAAAAGTTTGCAAAATGCTGTCTCAAATTGCATTTTATGTCCTACTTAAAATGTTGTAACCAAGGCTGTGTCCAGACTCGAGGGTTTTTTCGAAAAAAGTAGCCTTTTTTTGAAAAAACTTCCCCTGCATCTAGACTACAGCCGTGTACTTTCGAAATTAAATCAAAAGAACGCGGCTTTTCTTTCGACGGCGGGAAATCTCATTTCATGAGGAAGAACGCCTTTTTTCGAAAGTGCTCTTTCAAAAAAAGGCATTCTTGAATGCAAACAGAGCTTCTTGTGAGGAAGAACGCCTTTTTTCGAAAGTGCTCTTTCAAAAAAAAGCGGCTTGCTTTTTCGAAAGTACTGCTTGCAGTCTAGACGCTCTTTTTCGAAAGAGGCTTTTTCGAAAGTATCTTTCGAAAAAGCCTCTTTCGAAAGAGGTTTGCAGTCTAGATGTAGCCCAAGTGAGCCCTGCCGCGCCCCCTTCCCCTTCCCAGCTTACTGTTCTGGACGTTTATGATTCCTTTTGCTCTTTGGCATTTTTCATTCCACTGTTTTCAACTTCAGGCCAAAAACTCAATACCCTCCTTTCAGTAAAAATGAATGATTCTGAGAACTGTAAGCAATAATGCTAAGATGCATCAGGGGAAATGCTTTAGCAAAGCTGATCCAGATGACTTCATCACAGCCCTGAAACCAGCAGATCATATTCAGTGACGAATCCTGATCATGCTCCACCTGAGGCACATTGGGCATGTGCTAGTTTCATAGCTATTGAAACACACTGGTATATAAGCATATCTTCATATTTACCTCACAAGTGAAGTATCTCCCAAACATTGTACATCTCAGATAACATAGCATTAAGCACCAAGATCAAGCCTAAAAAGTTAAAACATGCGCATTTCAGATATTTCAGTAGTTTTTAATCAGTCGCTAAAGTCCTCATCATTGCACATTTCAACTTCTCACGTTACATTTCAAGTTCTTCTGGAGCTTCAGTGCAGCATTATGTTTCTTAGTGAGATATACGCCATAGGACTCCTCCATGTGCGAACATACAGAGCAGCTTCGGCACAGGTTTCCAAAGGTTTTCCCTATGACAAGACGTTCATCTGCAAGCAACAAATACCCACTGTTTAATCCCTGAAGTCCAATGAGATACTTCTGCGCTCACAGCCAGTGAAAGTTGCCTGTGCTTCACTGATCGAACAGAAAGGAGGGCAGGGGAGACCTGGCAGGCTGGTCTGCCTTACAGTCCTGAACCTCTAAATTCAGTTCCCCACTTTGCAACAGATCAAGTTTGTCAGCTTTCAGAAAATCCTGGAAGGCTTATCTTTTCTACCTTTCTTATAAAGAGATGGATGATGGGGTGAGGTAGACTAGTGACAGTGTGAGGTGATTCATTCATTTCTATTATATTTATGGTGTTGCGGCATTATTTAATTTTGATATGATGGGTTTATTTAGATACACTTTTAAAAGACTGTCAAGGACTCCCAGAGCATTGAACAGACAATCTTATTAGCTACAGTAATAACATTCCAAATAAATAATAAATCAGTGCTGGACTGCAGCATGTCAATAGCAAATTTATGTTTTTGAAGGAGAGAAATTCTAAATTCTTACGTGGAATATGACCACTGTATTTTGGCAGCATCCCTTCTGGCCTGTAGAATCTTCGGTCTATACTGGGACCTTTGCTCACTTTAACTTCATCCTTTTTGCCTCTAAAATAAAACAAAACTGCAATTCAAAAGTATCTTGTCTCACTTGCAACATTTCAGAATTTGTTTATACGTCCCCATGTTTTACATAATTGTCAGACTTAATTTTTAACTCTCTTGGCCTTAGTTGACTTCCTACTGCATGTGTTCTGCTCAGTAAGTGCTCCCCACATGTCTTCAACACTTGCACATGCCAAACACCCACTGCCTTTCCTGGAAGATCTGTGTGTGCATCTCCCAGGTTCAAATCTGCCTGGTGGCGGTTACACATGGCATATGGGCTCCACCTGATATCAACAGCAGATCGCCACTGAAGTAACACAGGAACTTTAGTTAGAATAATTGGCTGAAATCCTGAACTTGCTGAAGTCAATGGCAAACTCCTATAGATTTCAGTGGGGCCAGGATTTCACCCACTAAATCAACTTCATTGGGTGCATGGGTATACCTGTGAGGAAAATGGGGTGCATGGCTGAGAGTGAGGGGGGAGGGGACTGCAAATATAAGTCCCTTAATGTTTTCAATTGATGAATCAGAACTCAGCACACACTATACCCCCTTACAGTTTAACATAAAACATCAGTTACAGCCTCATGTTGTGAGCACATGCTCAGCAATGATGTATCGGGACGCATGCAAGTATGTATAGGCAGCAACATGTCATAATTAGGGTTGTGCATTGTACTGGGAATGAAATGGATGTATTGAATCCACGGGGTTCCTTCTGCCTCCTGGTGATAACGGAAGTTTCTGCAGAGTTGTAGCATCTGTCACTCAGTGAGATGAGTGAAGAAGGGAAATACTCCCTCTCCCAAAGGGAAAGAAAACCCCATTTCAGATGCCTTGAACACCTCTCGGTGGCAATTCAAACTCCCAAATTTTCACAGTCACACACTTCTCCCTGCTCAACTCCAAAATACTTTCCTAGTCAGTAAGAGACCTGGCCCATTCTGCTTCTAGTGGTACAGACAAACTCTCCTGCCCACCTTGCGAAAAAAAACCAGACTCACTTGGCCTGCTTCTTGCTGACAGCTACTAAGGCTTTGTCTACTCTTAATTCAGAGGCAAAACTGAAATTGCAGTGGCAATGCAAGTGTCAGGTACGTAGAAAAAGAATCAGAGATTTTTTATTAAATATCCAAAAGAGTAGTCACTTTCTGTGCTTTTTCTGGATTAAAAAGCTACTTTCCCAAGAGGTTTTCCTCACAGCAACACTGAATTGTCAGAACACTCCAGGCTGCAGAATATAAACCCTTTCCACACTAACATTTCAGCTACTGGTATACGCGGCATTGGTGGAAACAATGATGAAAATTGACTAGATGTTTGTGACAGTTCAGCTACACCAGTACCTGATACCACTGTCAGGAAGGCCATAGATCCAGAATACTGCAGGAAGTACTGGAAGTACTTGAAGAAGGATTACCCACAGGGTTTCATACAATTTCTTTTAAATGTTTGTGGTTCTAGTGGTGAACAGAAAGGCTGTGTCTACACTGGCCACTTATTCCGGAAAATCAGCCACTTTTCCGGAATAACTTGCCAGCTGCCTACACTGGCCCCTTGAATTTCCGGAAAAGCACTGACGATCTACTGTAAAATCATCAGTGCTTTTCCGGAAAAACTATGCTGCTCCCGTTCGGGCAAAAGTCCTTTTCTGGATAACTGTTCCGGAAAAGGGCCAGTGTAGACAGCACAGATTTCTTTTCCGCAAAAAAGCCCCGATCATGAAAACGACGATCAGGGCTTTTTTGCGGAAAAGCGCGTCTACATTGGCACGGATGCTTTTCTGGAAAAAGTGCTTTTCCGGAAAAGCATCCTGCCAATGTAGATGCGCTTTTTCCGGAAATACTTATAACGGAAAACTGTTCCGTTTTAAGCATTTCCGGAAAAGGGTGCCAGTGTAGACGTAGCCAAAAGGTCTAAATATCAGCATAGCCAAAATATGACAATGTGCTCCTGTGTACAGTAGGTCTCATGCGCTGTCTCTGTTCAGTGTCTCCTCTAGATAAGGAAGGTTTTAAAATTCTCTTATGAATAATACACTGTATGCTGTAGTCATTTTCAAAAAACATATGCTTTATAGTACCTATGCTCTACTACACAGATTCCTACCACTCATGCCCCAGGGGTGTGTCTAGACTACATGCCTCAGTCGACGGAGGCATGTAGATTAGCCAGATCGGCAGAGGGAAATGAAGCCGCGATTATTTTAATCGCGGCTTCATTTTCCTCTGCCGATCTGGCTAATCTACATGCCTCCGTCGACGGAGGCATGTAGATTAGCCAGATCGGCAGAGGGAAATGAAGCCGCGATTATTTTAATCGCGGCTTCATTTTCCTCTGCCGATCTGGCTAATCTACATGCCTCCGTCGACGGAGGCATGTAGATTAGCCAGATCGGCAGAGGGAAATGAAGCCGCGATTATTTTAATCGCGGCTTCATTTTCCTCTGCCGATCTGGCTAATCTACATGCCTCCGTCGACGGAGGCATGTAGTTTAGATGTACCCCAGGAGAGCACCTACAGTCTACATAAACCTGTTACTTGTCCTGCTCCCTTTGATTGCTTTAGTAGTTGGTGAGGTTACATTTATTTCTGGCTCTACTTCACCATACAATTGATCATCATCACCATCTTATATTGCACTTTTCAGTTGATATATTTTAGTAAAAACTTACTTGTGTAAATTGTTGGATGGATCGCAGTGGACCTTATTTACTATGTTCTTAAAATCCTGAAAACACTTTTTTGCCATTTCATGGTAACGAATTCCATATCCCAGTTCAGTGACCCTTGCTCTAGGCACAAACCCAGTCCAGCCAGGAATAGGAGGCTCTAGGAAATGTCTCTTAGTTTCTATAGTACCTGCAAAATGATTGAATAGATACCACCTCAAAATTACATCTCACTGTCTAAGAAAATACCTGCTTATATCAACCATAGTGCAGCAGTTCTCAAACTCTCAGTGAGTGGGACCCCAAAGCAGGCCATGAACCCCTGTTAATGGGGCTACCAGGGCTGGCATTAGACTTGCTGCAGCCAAATCCCATTGCTGAGGGCCAAAGTTTAAGGGCATCGGCCCTGGGTGGCAGGCTTAAGGTCAGGTGAGGGGCTTCAGCTTTGGCCCCTCACATGCAACAATGGGGCTTAGGCAGTCTCAGGTTTCAGTTTCCCTTCCTGGGGTCACTGAATAATTTTTGTTGTCAGAAGAAGGTCAGGGTGTATTGAAGTTTGAGAACTGATGCTATAGAGTACAGCCGATCCCCGAGTTGCGAATGGTCGAATTATGACCGTTCACATTTACGACCAATGCTCCCATGGAGCGGTCATAAAGGTGGTCCCTCAGTTACGAATACGACCCGCGCTTACAAACAGCAAGGTCGCTATGTAACTCAATGGGGTCCGAGTTACGAACAGATCGAGTTATAGCCAAGTGTTTGGTCCGTAACTCGTTCGTAACTCGGGGAGAGGCTGTATAAGAAATAATTTAAATGTTATATACAATAAATGCCTTGGAACAAATGTTCCCAGTTGACTTGGTTCATAAAATGCTCAATGGCCACTTTGTATCACTGAGAGTGGGTCTCACAACTTTTGACATGCCCCTTAGTGCGGCCTAGAGGTGATTTTTCTTCTTTATGGGGCCATATCCTGTAATTCTTCCTCACTCTTGAATCAATCCTTCCTGAGGCTATGACAGGACTTCGGAAGAAAGGTGCAAGTGACAGTTCAGAACTGTCACTCAGGAACATTCTATCTGATGACATTAAGGGCTTTCTAAGGTAACTGCAGGAGGAAGTTCTGAACATCTTTTACAGTCCCAAAACACTTCTGACAGCTGGTAATCAGGAATCTAGGATGGGCAACGAGGTTTGAACTCAGACTGGGTCACAGCATTTGGAGTCATGTTCAGGCTTTGGGGTTTGGTGCCAGCCTCTGTCACACTGAGTAGCACAGTATCACTGAGAGAAAGCGTGAGACCACTTGCAGGAGAAGTTAGCCATCAGCATGAGTGAAGGTGGCAGAATCAAGATTCAGAAAAGGAGGCCAAAATTTTCAAATCTGAGTGACTAACATTAGATTCCCAGACAAGCTGAGTTTTTCAGGGATGGTGAGCATTTGTAGTTCCTACTATAATCAGTCTGAGAAACAGGTGCTCAGCTCCTCTAAACAGCAGACCAGTTTTACTCTAAGTTTAGTTTGCCAGGTTTGAAAACATTGGCTTCAGATTTTTAGAAAGTAGTACAAGTTGAGAGCATACTATTGCATGAGTGTATTCAGAACCCCATTAATGGAAGGATTTCTGGATAACAATTACAACTGATGCAAGCCTCAATGTAAATCATTCGACATCACAATGAGTCTATACCCTTAAATATATAGATACGCACACCTATTCCTATTAGAGAAATACCCAAGATATAGCAGAAAAACGAATAACACAGAGGGTCAAATTCTGTCACTGAATGCATGTGTGTGTAACTCCCACTGAATTCAGAGCAATGTGCTAGCAACTGAAGACAAAATTTGGCTCTTCCTATGTCCCTGAACACTGTAATTATAATTCACATTGTACGAGTAACATTAATTGAATGTTTGGCTGAAATCAAATTCATTACAACTTAAATACAGTACCTAGCACATGAGGATGGTGTTTATAATTATACTCATAAAGTGCTTGTAAAACATCTTCATTGGAGCAAATAGGTGGAAGTTTGGGTGTAGTGGCTGCTATGTGTTTCAGCTCATCCACCGTTTCTTTGTTTCTTTGAGTAGCACTATGGAAGGAGGTCATACATGCCATTGAGTCATCTCCATAAGTAGTACCAATTCTGTAGAATCTTTGGGGGATGTAGCCTAAAAGAGTAAGCAGAATACATTCTAATTGTTCATAAGACTGAATGGGACATATTGCAAGCATTTACAGAGTGAAATTATCAAACAAACATAGAACGTTAACTGACATTCTTAGTTCTTCAAATTACACATACACTATTATATAGATGGTCACAACAATGATCTCATGTGACCTTAGATACAAACCACATTTTGACAAGGGCTATGCAAGTACAATCCTCTTATGACATATTAATTCTGCTAGCAACCACTCCCTTTATTGTCCCAAAAAATCAATCTGAACAGTAGTATGAAATGCTTTTCTGTTTATAGTCCTTCTTTTACAAAGACGGTTTGAAAATGCAGTTTCAGATCCTTCATTTCATTTGGAAGGAAATTTGGACTGCAATTAAAATGAACTCCTGCATTATAAGAAGTAGATGAAGGTCTTTTATATGGGAGACCAACCCTCGAAACTGACTTTTACCATGTAATAACTTATTTCCTTTATAAAAACTAGATGTGTAGAGCACAACTATGTATTTCTTTAAACTTGAATCTATGGCTATTTTAAATGCTAAAGAAATAGAAGTAAGAATCTGATGTAAATCAGATGGGGTGTGAGCCTACATTCCCTCTAAGGTGTGAGGCTATGTGGCTGCCCAGGAGGCCACCAAGGGCCATGCACTTAACTCCCCAACTCCAAGGTTGCGGCACAGCTTCGGCACTGTGATAGGAAAAGCCATCTCTACTTCTCCGTTCCAGGGTTGCAGCAGGGAGAGAGCACTCCCCTAGCCCCAGGGCTGTGTCAAGGAGAGGCGCCTCTCCCCTGTCCCCATCCCTGGAGCTGCTGAGGCAGGAAAAGATGTTCTCCTCCATCCTGAGAAAGAAGGTCAGAATTTGGCAAAATATATTGTTTACCTGTGTATCCAGGTATCAGACTGTTCCATACATCCACAGTGTTTTGATTTGGTTGCATGCTTTCTCTGTACCTGTTTGAAAGAAACTGAACATCTGTGTGAACTTATATAACAATATTGGTTAACTGGTTCATGTCTAATATCTGCTACATTTCTAAGAATCAATATTAACCACTCATAGAACTCAGCTCATGGGCCAAATTTCTCTATGACAGCAGTGTTAACTCAGAGTAACATCACTGCAGCCATGTGAACTATGTTATGCCAGTGGAATCAAGAAGAGCATGTACTATATTTCTGTTTTAATTGTCACTTTTTCTATGACGCAATACCATGCAATAGATTTTTTTTTAAATACACACCTAAATAACAAGGGTGGGGTTTTTTGTATAGTTATAAGAAGATACCCAGAAAGAAACATTAAGTTCTATATGATGTATTAATGTTATCACCAGGAAAAACACGTGTCAGATATGCATACATTATTTTCACATTACTGAAAAACATACATAAGCCCTCTTATGCCTTAGCCCACTGTTTGAGATAATGCCCTTGCTCAATTATATTTAGGCTTTAGATCATGCCAAAGTTACTATTGCTTCTGTATTTGCAGCATTCTAAGTATTTCCCATTAGTTACAAATACCGCACTGAGGTAACCATCTCTGTTTACATCAGGCAAAATCAGCAAGGTTATAAAGGTGATCACAGTGCCTCAATTAGTTTTCTAAGGGCACATCTAGACTACATGGCTCCATCGATGGAGGCATGTAGTCTAGACGTGCCATAAAGGAAAATCTAGATCAGAGTGAAATGTTCACCATAATTAAATTCCTGACTATAGAATAACCTGAAAAAAATGGAACAACAAACTGCAATGAAATGCCAGAAGAAACTATACACCAGGGAAAAGTCTCACCTCTTGGGATAGATGGAATTATACTTGCAATATGGGATTTGTACAGGGACCGGGACTGTTTAATGTATTTAATAATAATTCAGGAAAAGGGGAAAACAGTGAGATGGCAAAGTTTGCAGCTGATGTGAAATTATTCAAAATAATTAAGTCTGAAGCTGGCTGTGAAGAGTCGAGAACCTAAAAACTGAATGAGCAGCAAAATGGCAGGTGAAATTCAATGTTTTAAGTGTGAAGTAATGCACATTGGAAAACATAATCCATAACAATGGGTTCAGAATTACCACTCAAGGAACAGAGCTCCGAGTCATCGTGGATAGTTCTCTCAAACCACCTGCTTAAAGTGTAGAGGCTTTCAAAAAATATAAAATGTTAAGAACCATTAGAGAAAAGATAACAACACAGACAGTATCATGCCACTATATAAATCTATGATACACCCACTTCTTGATGACTGCATGCAGTTCTGGTCTCCCCATGTCAAAAACATATATTGTAAAATTGGAAAAGGTATAGGGTAAAATTGGAAATGGCAACCTATGAGGGAGGATTAAAAAGACTGGGACTGTTTAGCTTAGAAGAAAAGATGATGGAGGGGGTGACTACCTTCTCCCTCCCCCGTATAGTTCCCCAAGGGGCCAATTCTGGCCAGTCTGGGGAAGACTAGGGTGGCGTGTTGCCCCTCCGTGCTCTGGCCAGTGGAAGGCTGGGGGTGACTTCTCTACCCCTTCCTCCAGGAGTGAGGCCAGGAGTGGGGCTGGGCTGCCGTGGCACGAGCGGGGCAGCCACCAGCCCCTCCCACGGCTCAGGCTGGGCTCCCACAGCCACAGCCCAACCAGACAGGCTGATTCTGCCTCAGCTCTTCCGGGCAGCTGGGGAAGCAGGATATTGGTCTGCTTCATGATCCAGTGGTGGACCGCTCGCGATCGACCGCAATCGACTTCTTGGGTACCCCAGATATAGGATATAATTGGGCCCTGCTGGGTATTTCACTATTACTAGCCTATATATAGTGATAGAAATGTAGCCGTGTTAATATGGTGTAGCTGAAACAAAATACAGGACTATATAGCACTTTAAAGACTAACAAGATGGTTTATTAGATGATGAGCTTTCGTGGGCCAGACCTACTTCCTCAGATCAAACCGGTTTCATCTGAGGAAGTGGGTCTGGCCCACGAAAGCTCATCATTTAATAAACCATCTTGTTAGTCTTTAAAGTGCTACATAGTCCTGTATTTTGTTTTAGCCTATATATAGTCTGAACTGAAAAACCTTGAAGATGAACACTAGAATATTTTGGAATATTGTTTTTCACTTATGATATTTCAGCAAGATTTGCAAAGGAAATCTCTATAAAACCTTTTTACATACATTTTTAGTATGTTATAACAAAATCATTTTATCAATCACTGTTTCCACTCCAATTTTTCATTAACCTCTCTTGTGCACACTCATTGCTTGACTATTTTGAACTCTTTTCTATTTAAAAAAATTGCAGCCCATATTTACAAAAAAAGCATCCTCCCCACACAGAAATTCCTGTGTATGAGCCTGGAAAAAGGTCTATAAAGTTATAAACGATAGAGAAAATGAATAGGAAAGTGTTATTTATTCTGTTACATAAGAGAGGTACCAGGGATCACTCAATTAAATGAATAGGCAGCAGGTTTAAACAAACACTGGGAAGAACTTCACACAATGCACAGTCACCTGGTGGAACTTGTTGCAAAGGTCAAAAATAACGCTGTATTCAAAAATATTTAATTAAGTTTAGGGAGGATAGGTCCATGAATAGTGATTAGCCAAGATTGTCAGAGACACAATCCATGCTCTTGATGGTCCTAACTCACTGACTGACTGAAGCTGCGACGGGACGACAAAGGATGGTTCACTCAAAATTTGTTCTGTTCATAGAATCATAGAGTTGGAAGAGACTGTAACCATCTGCTAAAAACAGGGCCAATCCCAACTAAATCATCCCATCCACGGCTTTGTCAAGCGAGGAATTAAAAACCTCTAAGGATGGAGATGCCACCACCTCCCTAGGCAACCCATTCCAGTGCTTCACCATACTTGTAGTGAAATAGTTTTTCCTAATATCCAACCTACAACTCCCTCATTGTAACTTGAGACTGTTGCTCTTTGTTCTGTCATCTGTTCTGTTCATTTCCTCTGGAGCATCTAGCACTGGCTACCGTCAGAAGACAGTACATTGGGTTAGATGGACCAGTGGCCTGACCAGTATAGCCAGTTTTATGTTCTAATGGTCTATCTGAAAAATTAACAGATTGCATTGAGAAATAAAGAAAATTTAAAAAGCAATAAAGATGACAAATAATGGAGAATAAAGCAGGAGAAGAGATGGCAGAAGCTAACATGTTACAGTCTTGAAAATACAATCTACAGTTCATGGGAAGGGTATGATCACAGTGTAAAAAAAAAAACCCCTTTAAGATAATAACATAAATGAAGCAAAGGAATTGCCTCAATAAGCAAGTACAAAAAGAGCTACAGCCTCAAAAATTGAAGTACCAGCTACATATTAGGAATGACTACTTAGCAGTAAGAGCCATAGGGTCAGGGTATACACTAAAAAGCACCAGCATTGCAGTTATTCAATAAAGGCTGTTTCTGCCACCCATATATATGCTCACTAGTACCTTATGCCACAAATAAGGATGGACGTTGAAGTGAAAAAACAGGACCTAACTCTACCACCATGAGAGTAATTCCCTTAAATACAAGTATCTGTGCTGGAACAGTGCTGTCCCGAGCACAGAACTCTATGAGCACATAATGTATTGCAGAGACATCAGTGCAGACATGTTATAAAGATAGATGGGTCTTCTTGTGACTTCACTGGTGCTGGTGTATATCAGAAATAAGTTTACTAAAGACAAAGGAAATACACCAACTTTCCCATGTTGAGCAAGAACTTACTCGTTCATGATTCTTGTAATCCCAAAAGTACTTTATGAATTATGCATCTGGAGTCACTGCTGTTCTGTCCAACTCTGAAGTGCAGCTCTGCTGTGGCACAGCAACCGTACCCAAGCCCTGAGGAAAGAAAGAGGAAGGGATTCCGAGCCAGCAAGAGTCAGGAATTAAATTTTAATATATCAACATATTGCTCTTGTTCTTTTCTATGGGACAATACGTCCTTCATCTCTTCATGGCCCCAAGTGTCGTAGGCTGCTTCTGTGAGGTGTTCAAAGCTGGTTGTAAACGGCAGCTGTGTTCCACTGTAGTAACCCAATACGACATGAAACTAAGTTGGACGTTGTATTAAATTTCCAGTGATGTTATAGCCATGTTGGTCCCAGGATATTACAGAGACAAGGTGGGTGAGGTGATCTCTTTTACTGGACCAGCTTCTGTTGCTAAGCGAGACAAACTTTTGAGCTACTCGAAAACTCCTTCCAGGACCATCCCAAAGATTTATGGGGCCCTCTACACAGTACTATTAAACTGATACTCCTATGCCCAATGAGAGCTTGGTGGGGGGAGGGAATGATGATTTTAGAAAGATGTGATTTTATGATCTTCAACAACAAACTAATGAAATAGTTTTCAAGCAAATTTTAAACTAAAGTCCTATTGACTAACACGGTAAAATTCAAAAGCTTCAGAGGGGTAGTGAAGTTAGTCTGTAACTAGAAAAACTTGAAAAACAACTAATAGTCTTGTAGCAGCACCTTAGGCTATGTCTAGACTGCAGAGAAAAGTCGGAAAAAGATATGCAAGTTGCAAACCGCAATTTGTGTATCTTTTTCCGAAAGAGGCTTTTCCAAAATTTGGCCCATCTACACGGGGCCAAATTTTGGAAAAAAGGTCCTCTTTCGGAACATCCCTTTTTCCTCTCACTGAGAGGAGTACAGGTATCCTGGAAAAGCTCTACAGTCTAGACATAGCCTTAGGGTATGTCTACACTAGCTCGTTAATTCAAGCTAGGTAGGCAAATCAGACAACCGGAGTTGCAAATGAAGCCCGGGATTTAAATATCCCGGACTTTATTTGCATGTTCCCGTCCGGCCGCCATTTTTAAATCCCCCTTAGTTCGAACGATATGGCCACGGCTACACGCGGCAGTTTAAAGTTAATCCGAACTAAGTTCTTAGTTCGGATTAATTGTTACACCTCATTCCACGAGGAGTAACAGTTTATCCGAACTAAGGACTTAGTTCAGATTAACTTTCAACTGCCACGTGTAGCCGCGGGCAGTTTGTTCGAACTAAGAGGGATTTAAAAATGGCAGCCGGACGGGAACATACCAATAAAGTCCGGGATATTTAAATCCCGGGCTTCATTTGCAACTCCGGTTGTCTGATTTGCCTACCTAGCTCGAATTAACGAGCTAGTGTAGACATACCCTTAGAGACTAACAAAACATGCAGATGGTATCATAAGCTTTTATGGGCACAACCCACTTCTGCAGATGAATGGAGTTATTAAAGGTCCAGTTTCTAACTAAAAAGGGGATGGGAGGAGGAGGGGGAGACAAGGAAAAAAAGGAAAAAAAAGAAAAAAGGGGAAAGAAATAGTCAGTTGGAGTGTCTTTGCTACATGAAGCTGTTAGAGAAGCTACTAACTGTTCTTAAGTACCCATTGTTTGGTTTTTCATGTGATTAGGATGTGGAATGTAGTGGGCCATCCAGCCAAAGTCTTTATTCATGCCTCTGTTATAAGAACCAAACTTGTAAATGAAGTTAAGTTCTAAGGCTTCTCTGTGGAGTTGGCTTGTGAAATTGGCCTGAAACAGTACAGTGACTTTGAGATCCATTAATGAGTGCCTGGGCAAGTTAAAATGTTCCCCAACAGGTTTCTGTGTTGCCTTTTCTGATATCTGATTTGCGTCCATTAATTCTTTCTCGTACAGACAGACCAGTCTGGCCAATATATATATATACAGTATACAGCATATAATATAAAATATACAGTAAATTCAGAAATTCACAGTATGTATCTTGGGTTGGAAAATGCCTGCTAAATAGCTTCATTATCACTTGAATGGCTCTTTCACAGTTTCAATGTCTGCTATTAGGTCTAAAACAAAAGGAAAAACTATGTAGCACTTTAAAGTCTAACAAGATGGTTTAATAGGTGATGAGTTTTCGTGGGCCAGACCCATTTCCTCAGATCATATTCTGGAAGAGAATTGGCATGACCATATATACCAAAGGAATACAATGAAAAAAGTGAACACTCTTTTTATTCCCTCCCTCCCTCTCCCTCATCCCACCTTCTGTACTAAATCTGATTAGTCAGTTTAATAATGTGTTCACTTTTTTTCATTGCATTCCTTTGGTATATATGGTCATGCCAATTCTCTTCCAGAATATGATCTGAGGAAATGGGTCTGGCCCACGAAAACTCATCACCTATTAAACCATCTTGTTAGACTTTAAAGTGCTACATAGTTTTTCCTTTTGTTTTAGCAAGATCAGACTAACATGGCTACCTCTCTATTGCTATTAGGTCTGGCAGGCTTTTTCCCTTTTAAGTTAACTAGATCCTATAGGCAGCAGAAGCACTGAACAGGGCTAGGAAGAGGTGGTTGGGTCGACATTGAGACCCAGCAGTTCCCCAAATGTTCAGTGCCCTACGCAACTGCATATTCTGTGTATGGATGGAAGGCACTGACTCATTCTTAAGACCCATCTTCACTCTGAGGAAGATGGATGATGCCATGATCAATCTTCCAGAGTTTGATTTAGCAGGTCTAGTAAAGACCCACTATATTGATCAGAGGGTGCCCCCATCGACGGCTGGTACTTCTGCTCCTGTGAGGAATAAGGGAAGCCAACAGGAGTATTTGCTTCTGTTGGCCTCCCACTGTGGGGATGGCAGGGAAACTCAAATCAAAGTATGTCAACTCCAGCTACATAATTAATGTACCTGGAGTTGAGTATCTTGATTCGACCTTCCTCTTTAGTCTAGACCAGACCTTAAGTTTGGGAAAAGTACTCAGCTTGTCACAGCTAAATAAAAGGTGGAACAGATTGTTTAGCCTAAAGATTTAACATGTTGCAAGAAGCCATGCAAGGTGAAATGGATAGTTAACACTCAGGAGCGGCTCGAGGAGAGCTGCTGGCAACTGGCGCCCTAGGCGGAATGCAAGATCAGCGCCCCCGCCTCCATAGCCCTCAATGGTGTGATGTCATCATTGGGTGCTGCGTTAAATGTGGCACCCTAGGCAGCTGCTGAGGTTGCCTACATCCACGGGCCGCCCCTGTTAACACTCGATAGCTATAGAACAAAGGAGAAGCAGTGGATTGTAGCTTGTTGTAATGAGTCAGATTATACAAAAATCATTTTGTGTGCCTTAGGTAACGATTTCAAAGAAGTTCAAAAACTCATTTGAGTTAAACTGCAAGAGTAAGTTAGGGCAATAAAAGTTTATAATAATAGTTAACAGAGTCCTGCAGACTCACACATTATCATTGTGGTAATGCCTAGCAGTCATGGCTAGACATGGGCTGCATTGTGCTAAGCACAGTACACATAGTAAAAGAGTCCTTGCCAATCTGAGATGTCTAGGAGGAATTGTTTGCAGGAACCAAGGTCTTAGCTCAGCCCACAATTTTTAATTTAGGATTCTTCTATGTCATTAAATTACCTTTTATCAAGGCTATAGCTTCTGAAAAAGTGGCTGACGCACTCTCCCATGAGAGTTTCCGAGACTCATCTAGTTAAAACTATCTCTGTAATCTAAGTCATTGTATTCCTTGAATGTGGGAAATCTTGTTTAGTTTTCATGTATTCTAGCGTTAATTTAGGATGTGCGTGTATCTTATGAGCTATGATTTCTCCTATAACTCCAGGAAGAAATCACAGCGAATGTGGACCAGCCTACCCAGCACCATCTGTGATTTGGGAGGCATGTAATGGATGAGAAGGGTACTACTCATTTCTAAACATCCCAGTATTCAGTAACTAAACGATAAAACCAGAACAGTGGGTATCCAGGAAGTGTTGGCAGGGAGCAAGGAGAGCCAATGAGAAGAGAGGGAAAGAACTCTGAAATGAAACAAGTTTTGCCTGTTTCGGTTTTTCCTTTGGTTAAACTCCTCTGTGCTAAACCTCCCTGTGCACTGTAACTGAAACTGACTCCTCCCATCCATCACACCTTTTCTTGGACTTTCATTCACTAGCCACAAGGGTGCAGGTAAAAATGGCATTATAATTAGGGGGCAAATCTACTTTGAAGAGGTTTTTAAGGATATCACAGCCAGGAATTTATTCTTAACTGCTATCTAGTACAATGTGGCTAGTAGCCTCTGGAAGTCAATATAAGATACTATAGTGCAGATTATGCTATGGGCATAAAAAAGATCAGAGAAATTCAGGTGTGCCACATACAGGAAGTCACAGCTCAGGAGCCTGATTAAAAGCACTGGCTGGAACTGAACATTCACCGCTGGCCATGGTGAAGACACTCCCACTGCTGGCAGAGTGGGGCATTGTTATTGATTTCTCTGGCAGCTGAAGTTTGCCAGCCCTGCGGTGGGGGTGCTGAGGCTTCCTGCTGTTGAAGTCCCTGCAAAGCTCCCAGGGTCAACTGGGAGCAGGCTTGGGCCCTACGCTATAAGGGTCAGCTGGCAGTTTTGGACTCAGAACAGACTGTGGGCTGGGCATGGGCACTAGGTCCACGGATCCTTACCCAGAGCCCTCCCCTACGCCCCAGTGTGCCACGTGGCTCCTGCTGCTGGATAAGCTCCACAGTTGGACAGGCTCTGCTAAGGCAGCTACCACCCACAGTCTCTGCACACAGCCAGGGCATTGTGACATCAGCCAGCTGGAGTGGGAGAGCAGTGGCTGGGAACACAGCTGTGCTAGGAAGTGACCCAATAGGACCTTGCCCCAAGCTGGTGAGCAGGGGAGCACCAGGAAAAGAAGTCAGTATTTGTGCCTGGGACTGGCAACTGCCACTGTAACACCCACTCCTCCACTGATCACACAACCTGTTAGTGTGCTACACCCTATCTGGGACAGCACACACCCTTCATCTAACAACAGCCTGCATAGCACACTCCACTCACTCATGGCCTGTTACACCCCAATGAACACTCAGTCTGGCTACACACACACTTGTATCCCACAGTCAGCACTCATACCCCACTCACAGTCTGTGCTACACCTCCTAGCAAGCACACAACCCGTGCTACACATACACATTATTACACTAACCCTCAGAGTCTGAGCCTGCACTTTCTTTTGTTGTAGCCAGGAAGAAAAATATAAGATATCCTTCAACTGTGTGTGTGTGGTGGTGTCATTACATTGTCATTTTGGTATGCCTCACAGGAAAGAAAGGGTCATTATCGGTGAATTTTGTTAACTATAAGATGCCCCCGACTTGCGACGCGATCGGTTCCGGGAATAGTGTCGCAAGTCAGGGGCATTGTAACTTGAGCCCACATTTACAACAGGCGTCATACACCGTCGTAAATGCAAGGCTGAGGATTTCGGTCCCTTCCGCACTTATGGAAAAGATCATAAATGCAGAGTGTCGTAAATCGGACCATCGTAAAGCGGGGGCCTTCTGTAATGGATTCTTTTTCAAAATCTTTTAATACAGCTGCAGACAAAACTAAAATTAAATGAGTCATGGTAACTTTCGATATTCACTGTTTCAAAGGTACAGTCCCCAATATAAACACTAAAATAAATTACAGCATAAATATTGTAGACATAGTTCATGGTAGCCTAAAGTGTTGACAGTCCAATATATTTTATTAAATGTATCCTATACAATGATTTATTTGAATTTAAAGAGCTCCACAAGCAAGGGGTTGAACAAATATTTAAAGTCCTCCATTGACAAAAGCTTGAATGTCAACATTTCTCTTTTAACCCAGTTAATTTTATAACTGGGCCAAATGCAAACATCTAAAATTTCCATTTTCTATCTAATCCCTGTAAACTCTTACATGGACCCAGACAATCAAGAAGGTGACAGTGAATCTATAGAATCATTTAACATTAGTAGATGCAATACTTTGGGGCTTGCACCTTTTCCAACACTGGGGTGTTTTCTAGCTATCTCAGGCTATGTCTAAACTTCATTCCTCTTTTGAAAGAGGAATGTAAATGAGGCAAATCAAAAGTGCAAATGAAGCGTGGATTTAAATATCTCACACTTCATTTGCATATTCCCGTCCGAGAGCTTTTTGGAAAAAAGTTTTTTCAAAAGTAAAAGCGCAGTCTAGACGAGGTTCTTTCGGAAAAAAAACACCCTTTTTTGAAAGAACCTGTACTCCTCATTTTTTCAGGTTGGTTGCATTCCCATCCCTCGGCATGAGGAGGAGGAGGCAGGTTTTGGGCAATCTGATGGGGTCAGAAACAGAAGATGTGGTGGATCCCACGGTGCTATGCTTGTTTCTCTGTTGTTGTGAGCTTCATTATGGAATTTATCCCAGTGGTAGAAGTTAGAATAGCCCCTGTTGCTCTAACTTTGAAGGATGGCCAAAGGTCAGGGAGCTACAATAAGGTACTTGAAGCTTTTATGCTCCATTATGTCTTACCTCAGCTCATCTCAGCTCCAACAGAGAATCAAAGGCTGTATATTCTGTTATTGGAGTTCCAACAATTTCTCAGCTCTCTCCTTATTTTTCATAAAATCCTGAATCCTCAGTATACAAGAGTCATAATCTGCTTTTTGGCAAACATAATATTACAAAGCCATTTAAGTCTTAGCTATAGTTTCCAATATGGAGAGAGCTGGATCAATCTGTACAACCCTCCGAATAATCTACAACGTATGTAACTGTTCCATCTTCACTCTGTATCACGTTAGGAAGTAAGCAAATACAGGAGAAGTAAATTTAACTATATACTTAAACCCGCTACTTTCTAAAAACATTTACTTTCTATAACAATTTTTACATAAAACCCAAAGATGAATGGTAATAAAACACTCCACCACACAACATTCAGAGCTTAATTGTATTTTATTTGACACTTTTGAAGACACAAGAGTACTCAGGTACAATCCTAACTAGTGGTGAACTGCTCCAAAGGTCAGTGAAATTTGAATTTATCTTGCACAGGGAGGTGAACACCACAATTACTGATATTTTATAATATAGTTTAAGAATACTCCAAGCAGGTGAGTACTGTAATGTTATGCCCAACAACTTTTATGCTATTCATCCACTTAAGCCACTTTGTAGCATAAATATGCAGCTTATCTCAGCTATTAAATCTCTGAAATATGTAATTAGGCCTTCTTGTAATAATGCATTCATTCTCCTATATATAAAAATCAGTTTAAGAATACTGATACATGCCATCTTTACCATTATTGTACATTGATCAGACTCAACCACGAAAAGTTGCTAACTTCTAAACTAGAGCTAAGCAACTTTGGGTCAAACTCTCCAGCTGTCACCCAAGCAGAACTCCCATTGAAATCTTGGAAGTTTTGCCTAAGGACTGCAGGGTTTATCCCCTTAAGATGTAAATAGCACAATGTGATCTGAAATGCCTATTGATAAGTGTTCTGCAGGGAATTTGCTGCAGAATACAATGGAATGTCTATTCCATAAATAACTCAATTAGAAACTTGTGTCCTATTGAAGTTCCTACCAGTTTTGCAAGTCCAACAGCTGGCTCAACATATGAGGCTAAAATGGTCTTCCACATGCCACTTGCATTCTGAAGTTGTTTAAAGGGGCTACAAATAACAACATGTTGTTGCAGTGTACTATTGTAATTCTAAAAGGCTAGGCTTTCTATTTTGGGGGGACAGAAGATGGATTGGGAATTGAGTGGTCATTTGCTCAGCAATCCAGTTTTATAGTGCTCTCATTAGATTGAAAGAGAAGTGTGAGGTGCAAAACTGTGGACACTCTTCTTGTGTCACAACAACAGAACCTTTTAAACAACTAAAACCCTGGATCAAGTTTGAATCTTTCAAAAGGTGACTATGAAAAGTGCAGAGAATCACTGCTGCTCTGGAGCAATGCTTCTGAAAAGCTGCAGAAGCTCCATTCACCAGCGACATGCTTGAAATTAACACTCACAAATAAGGGGACAAAATCAACCCTACTGAACCTTCATTCAGCGGGCATTGCATCCACATAAAGCATTACTAAAATTAATTCTGCACTGACTTGAGGCCGTGTAAATACTTTAATATCAGCAGAATTGGATGGGGTATACATCTACACAAAACTGAATTCACATAATTTAACATTAGACGTAAGGATCTTAAACCTGCTTTTTGAAAGCAAGTCATATTTTGGTACTATTAAACAAAGTATTGGGCCAGATCCTCAACTCATATAGTTTGGCATAGTCATGATACCCAGCTACCTAGAGAAGGCTATGTAAGAACCTATTGCAGTATTTGAAGGCTCAGGGCAGAAGTTCTAAATTTTTACATAATTTACAGGAGAATTCATTCGTTATTATTATGCATTCTTGAAAATGAAATGGCGACCATTTAAAACAAGAATGAAAAACCCCAGCAAAAGACAGTATGTCTGTACAGTATGTTCAACTGCTGTGACTTGCATTGCAGGAAGACTGTTGTGTTATCTGGCATACCAACATTGCTCTCTCATTATTATAAGATCAGCCCTGCACATTCCACATCTTGCCATCTTTAAAAGCCTATAATTACAAAAGCTGAGAAGACTGTGTTATTTAAAATTAATAGCTGAATGCAATCAACAGAGGCAAAGAGCATTTTTATGCAAGAAAATAGCACTGTAGAAAGAAAGAGTCTGTACAGTATTTAAATATTGTATATACATAAACTTATATTGTTCACAACTCATCTTAAAGTTTCTCTTATTTGTAAACCAGGAAAGGCAATCAAAAAAATCTTACATTTAACATTTTAAGCATAGCAAGCTGCAGGAAACAATGCTAGCAAGCACAGTTTTTAATTATATAAGAAATATCTAGCCAGATAATGTGACTAGCATCCTCCAGACCCTTTTTATTTAATTCAGTATTTTTTTTTCACATTCTAGTAGGGAATTTTGCAGGAGATATAACAAATTCAAGGACAGAATACAAGGGCCCAATCCTGCACTCTTTTCTTAGGCAAAATCTCAATTAAGCAATATCCTCCAATAAGTACCGTAGTGTAGCAAGGGGGCATAAATTACTGAAGTGATTGATAAAGTTTCCTTTTAAAAAAAAAATCAGTAATGTCTTCTATGGTTTTAACCTATACCTAACTAAAGGAAAAGTGTTCAGCTAGGTTAACAACTGATCTTTCCATATCTTGAAAGTGCATTGCAGCAGGTGAAAAGGCAGCCTTACTTAAAATAAAAATGCTAAAAGTATTAAAAATATCAGCATTTTTCAGCCAATGCTACAGTTTTGTTGAAGCCCTCAAGATTGGACAGGGATTTGGATTTGAGTCTGAAATTCCTAGTCCATGGGTGTTGCAGGGATCTAGGAATGGCTCATCATTTATAAAAATGTATAAAATGAAAACTGCCCTGTCTGGCGATGAGGTGCTCTAGACGTGTGAGTGCTAGAAGACATTTCAGGAAAGCAGTATCATTTGGAAATCATGGTGACACCATGGACAGTGCTGTATTTGTCCTGCATTACAGATATAGATCCCTGATCGTGCATTGGACTCTAGTATCTGGTTGGTGAGCTCCCTGATAGACTGAGGTTTTTGTCTTCTGTCTCCCACCTTACTGCCTGTTCAGCATGCCTCCAAAATATATTTTGCTCAACAAAAATGTTTACTTTAAAATTTGTAACATTACTGTTGCAGAAAAGTTTCCCTTTTTCACTTATACATGCTTCTGGACAAGTCCTCTACTGAGCACTCTTCCAAAATGATAAAACAGTGGATTTTAACAATCACAAAATGAAATCAGAGATTTCAGATTAATACTAAAAAACCTAAAATGGAAAGATCCTTGTTATTTGAGAAATTTCAAATGTAAATCAGAGTAACAGTACAGTAATGTTTTTATCCAAATGAGAGCTTCAGAAATAAAGGCAGACATTTTCAAACCTGGCTCCTAAATTGATAGATAGGCACCTAGCACAGAAGAGTCCTGATTTTTCCAGACTGCTGAGTATACTCCAGTCCTAGACGTCAGTGGGAGCTGTGGTGGTCAGTATCTTTGAAAATCAGGCCTCTGTTCTTTATGTGCCTAAATACAGATTTAGAAGCCTAACATTAGGCATCCATATTTGGAAAAAATTGACCAAAATATCAAGAACAAATGAACACTGCAAAAAGGTGATTTGCAGAAGACAATGCTGATTAAATAACCAATGCCCACAACAATCCTGTAGGAAAATTTTTAAAACCATTTTGGGATCTTCCGCTGGCAAGAGTTCATACTATTTCAGTGTTGGGCAAAATACAGCCTGGGGGCTGGATCTGGCCCACTGAGCCGCCGGATCTAGCCTGTGGACTACTCTACCAGGACCCTTACAGGCACTCAGCTGCCACAGTTTAAAGCGCAGTCTGTGTGGCTCTCTGCTCTACAGGAAGGGGGAGGCTTCATGTGATCTCCCGGCCCCCAGCCCAATCCTCAGCTCTTATAGGCTGGAAACAACAGGGCAAAAGAAATTGACCCCAGCCAATCTCTCAGCTCCTATTGGCTGGTAACAATCAACCAATAGGAGCTGAGAGATTGGCTAAGGGATGTGGGCAGCACAAGCCTCTTTTCTTTCCCGGAGCTGACAGATATGTGGAGGGAACAAGCCTGTAGTTTAAAGTGATCTGGGGCTGCAGCAGGCAGGGAGCCCGGCCTGCCTTGAGGGTGCTGCAGACTTAGGAAAGCGCCTCCCAGGCAGAGCCTGCCTCTGGCACCCCTGCTCCTCCTGCATCCCAACTCCCTCCCCCCCCCTCAGGTCACCATCCAAACCCTCTGTACCCCCCTGCCCCAGGTCACAACTTCCTCCCAGACGCTGTACTCCCTCCTACACTTTTCCTCCAGGCCAGAATCCTCTCCTGCACCCAGACCCTACCCTGGACCCTGCACCCCAATCTCCTGCCCCAAGTCACCACCCAAACCCTCTGCAATCTGCACCTCCTTTTCCCCTTCTCCCAGGTCACAATTCCCTCCCAGACTTTCCACCTCCTCCTAGAGCCCCTCCCCCAGGCAGGAATCCTCTCTTGCACCCATTTTCCCTCCCTAACCCTGAACCCCCAATCCCTGCACACAGGTCAAAACCCCCTCCTTCGCCCAAACACCCTCTCAGGCCTCACACTGAGACTGTTTCCTGCACCCCAGTCCCTTACCCCATGTGCCCTTCTGTACCCAGCCTCCATCCTAGAGCCCACATCCCCTCTACAAAAAAAGTGTGGCCCTTGACCACTTTCCAAAATCTTGGAGTGGCCCCCCCAACAAAAATTATTGCCCACCCCTGTACTATTTAATAGAGGTGGGATTTTCAAACACACCTAAGTGACTTAGGAACACTGGCTTTCAATGGAACTTGTGTCCCTAAATCTCTTGGGACTTTTGGAAAATCTCACTTGATTATTCAAAAGAAAAAAAAGTCCTTTGATATATTTCTACCAATTGGCTGTTCTCATCTAGCCTGCTTAAATTCAAGTGATTTGTGTCGTATATGAAAGTCAGAAAATGGAACAATGAAACAGACGTGCAGATGGGTTGTAGTGGAGAGGGGACTCTTAATAATTTAAGAAATCAATACCAGCTTTGACACTCTTAGAAGTGGCAACATCAATGGCCATGGCTTTAATCTCTGTGTCCCCAAATTGCATTAGTGTTTTGATCTCTCTCCGAGTTGGCACCAAAGTCTCAGTGCCTGTGAGATCCAGACGAAGAGTGCCACACTTTTTCACCCCGGGTTCAGTGATGAAACTGACATTATCTTGCTCCGAGCTGTAGATATTGATCACTATTACCAACTGAGAAGGCTTGGCAGGTGTGTAACTGCGTGACACTGTTTCTCCAAGAGCTACAGATTGGTCGGCTGAGATAAATTTGTCGAAGACATCAGTGCACCAGCGTGTGCCATCTTTAACCAGCAGCTTCTCCGGCGGATGCTTTCCTTCTACAAACCGATTCAGGACTCCCACACCATAGGTCAGAGGGGAACGTCGCACTTTGATGACAGCAGGGTCTAGGCCAAAAAGGACAGCTCCCTTGAGGATAGTAAGGCCCACATCCTGAGGAATGATGATTCGACATTTTGAACCAAAAGCATTCTGGACAGCTTGTTGGAGTAAAGGGGCTTCAGCAAATCCACCCACCAGGAACAGAAACTTGACATTGGTTACTTCTGGCTTTTCAAACAGGTCACCTAAACAGAGAGACAAAGCCTGCTCAGCTGGGAAAACTTCCTAATGGCAAAATCCATTAGACTGTGGAATAATCTCCTAAGAGACATGCTGGGTACACCATCACATATATCCATGCATAGAACCAGAGAGAGTGAGTAGGTCTGAAATGGCTCAGTGAACTCTGCCACTGCTATCACATGGTAGTCACACTTCCAAAGTGTCTTTTGTTCTGATTCTATTGGTCTGAGAGACAAATGTCCTGTATTTAACACAGAGGATGTACCTGAATGGAGCATATCCCACAAAACAGAAGAAAATTTTAAAGTAGTACAGTCTAGATTCACATTTTAAAATTTATTTTTATCTTAAGTCACATTTTTATTTGTTTTTCTCTGCTAGATAAAAGCAGGCACATTTCTGCACGAAACAATCCAACAGCCATCTTGGAGGCGGACAGGGAACCCTGCTATATGGAATATCCCTCAGGATCTCCTAGACAGCAGCTAGGTATGCCTAGACAAAACTGACTAATGTTAACTATACACTCCATAATATCACCCTTCTTATATATGTACCCTCTTAATTTAAATCTATGTTCTCTAGTTCTGGTCTATCCAAATCAAGTTTAATGTGACAGTTAAGTGAACCTAGTTTAAAGGTAACGAGCAGTCCTGTAGCACCTTACAGACTAACAAAGATAATATATTTGTTAGTGTCTACGGTGCCACCGGACTACTTGTTTTTAACGTTACCGACTAACAGAGCTATCTCTCTGAGACTAGTTTAAAGGTGTCAGTCATGTTGCCTCGATTATCTGTCAAAACAAAATAATCCTAGTTCTCTCTTTCTTTCTTTATATATAAGCTATTTTATTTCATTCATATTAATTGCCTTATTAAGCTCTGCTCTAATATAATTATACATTTTTTCATAAAGGATGCACCAAATTGGACATTATATTCCAAATACAATCAATGCAGTGTCTTGTAGAATGTTAAAATAATATTGTCATGTTTATTGTACAGAATACAATCCACTTGATACAAGCCTTAAATTCTTTTGGACTAAGAATTTAGACACTGGGTTTCTCAGTCTGGCCACATCATCTTCCATGATTATATTAATAAATCCAGTGATGTCTACACAAAGCTTGGAATTATTTTTACCCAGGTAGATCAGTTATTTTTTGTGTAATACTGAACTGGAAATCAAAACAATGCAGAATATGTTGTGGGGGACAATCCTGCATTGGCACAAGAATGAACCAGATGTCCTAATATGTCTTTGATTCTTTCTATTATTATCTCCCAAGCATTAATTTGGAGAGAGAAGGAAGAAAGGAAAGGAGGGAGGGAAAAAGGGAGGAAGGAAGGAAAGAATTTTGACTAATCATCAGGTTTTAGTCACTTGTATTCATGAAAGCTCAAGAGGAAATAAAGTTTATGCTTGCTTGCTCAACAGCTACAGAATACCTAGAAATTAAATTCCTTATCCACTATTTGTGGGGTCAAATTACCAAATTAAACATAATTCCCAGTTAGGGGCTGTGATAAATGAGATTTGGATAAATCATCCTTGAGTTTACATCTGGTCGGAAATTCATTACACCCCTTGATACATACTAAGATGTTGAATGATCTGGTCAATTGTAGGTTTGAAAAGGGCATTCATTGCATCTGGACTCATCCTGAGCATTCCTTGGGAAGACCATTTGACAAAGTCCACGCTGCAACAAAAGAGCAAAGGAGGCTGTTAAAACAAGTTCTAATTTTAAGAGTAAGCTGGTAGCTGAGATGTAGTGCATGTGGATAAGAAATACAATTTATGTTTCCTCTAACGTCTGCTCACCTGAAACAAAGCTAATGCATTACCCTCCTCCCCCCCCCCCCCCCCCAAAAAAAAAGTTGATCCTTTCAATTCAAGCAGCAGTAGATCTCAAGACTACTGCAAGTAGGCAAAAAAGATTAACAGGCTTGGGAACTCTAGGGAGGCAATTCTGTCCTTAGCAGTGGGTTGTGAGGTGCAGGTAACATGGCAAGGAAATTTTGTTAAATGAATACAGGGATAAGTTATTCCACTGCTGACACTCTAAAATGAGCTAGTTACATCTGGGTCATTTTCTCCTTTTCATTCACAAATATTTACCGTGTCAACTTTATAAGTGCTTTTCGTCCCCTTTTCTTGCCTTCTACATTTTTTGGCATTTACATTACTTCCAAAAGGCACCATTATGAATGATGAAAGGAAAAAGGGTATATAGTAAGTAGAAGGGTAACTTTTTGAAATGGGTCTTAGACTTAAGAGCCTAAGACCCATTTTCAAAAGTTATTTTGTCTTAGAATGGAATTACAATAGGATTTAGGTTCCTAAATAATTTAAGTGGTTTGTAAAATTTTATTCATGGTTTCCACACTGCCTCCATCTCTATCTGCAAAATGGGTACTCCAGTTTAAATAAATAATTGAGAAATAGAATTGTTTATACTTTTTCCAAAATTGGAAAAAAATCATACTCAAGTCTTCTTAGAAGACAGAGTTGTGTGGGAATGTTCTGAATATAGATGTGGTTGTGTGAAATATAAACTCAGTGCTGTTAATAATTTAGTCCTAACCATGTAGCTAGAAATACAGGAGACTGCCTCACTGTGAAAACACTGGAAATGGTACTATGTAAATGAAGATAGGTTAATTGAAACTCTCAGAAAAGTCTACAGTAGGATGCAAGTGTTATGGAGAAAACTCTTAAGAAAAGCTTGAATATAACTTTATTTTCTAATAACTCTATCTGAGGCATTATGATTATCCCACCATTAGACTTCACTTTCACACTATTATTCTACTCACAATTAGACTATTTTAATTATTATTCTTTCCAGCACTGAGTAGTTAATTACAAATCTATGGGTTCAATTGTCTACTTACTTGCTTTTCCTTAAGGCGTGTTCCACACTGTGACCTCGAAACTTCTTATAATAGTCAATGAAGGAGAAAGGCAGAGTGATATTCAGTGGATTGGTTCTGTCTGGGGCTGCTGCCCTTTTACGAGACTCAAATGCTATCATCAGATCGACCCAAGCAGCAGGACGCTTGATTTTAAATTGTTCAATAAAATCCTCTCCAAATATTTTACATAGAAGTCTTTCAAACTCATAGTCCACGCCTACAGAACCGTATGGCCCACCTGTGTTAGAAACAGAACACACTGTGAACAATAGTGTATTGCTTATTAGAATGTGAGACCATCATATGCAAATCCAGCTCATACTGACATTGCTAAGTAGTTTTGCTGACAGGAAAAGACAAAAAAATATGGATGGTTCCATCTTGAGTATGAGGAGGACAAGAAGGAGCATGTGTTCAGGAAAAGGTTTCCCTACTTACTACACAGATAAACACATACGCTGGGTTCATCCGTGATGACACTGGAGTCACCAAGGCTGAATATTCAGGACTAACTCAGGATTTCATGAGCGCTCTGAAAATTAAGAGATTGTTTCAGGTGGCTAATGACAAAACTCACAAGATTCTGGGAATCTGAATCTGGGATAGGAAAGTAATTTGAGGGGCTGAATTTTACTTCCTTGCCATAAACCAATCACCACATTTGATTTGAGACTTTATCATCAAGGTGCTTAACCCGTCTTGGTGCTCTCTACCTTTGAAAGTTAATGGGGCTTCTACATGAAAATGAAGAATACTAGTCAGCTAACAACTCACTCAGTTCATAGCCTGGTGGGACTTCACAACAATTTTTGTTCTATCAGCCTGTTGTATAGTGACCCCCTAAGTGCCTGTGCATGTTACCACAATTTACAGAAGGCCTACGAGAGATAAAATGGGAGAGGAGGTGGCTAGACTGCTAATGGTGGAACTCAGACCAACACTGGCAGTGAGCCAGAATGAGGTAGAGTTTGATATTGTCTCTCATCTTGTCAAAGGAAGTTTTACTTTTCCTCAAGTAAACATATACATAACATTATTTAACTCTATCTCTTGACTAGCAGTCAGACATTGCACAAAATTAATAAGGCCTTTTGAATGTTGATGTTAATAAAGGATGAACTACAGGTTGAACCTCTCTTGTTTGGGAGTCCCTGATCTGGCAATATCCTTGGTCCTGCAGGACCACAGATGTTGCTAGATCAGAGAGCCCAGCCACAGAGGTTGAGAGCAGCTGGGGCAGTGAAGGGCAGTGACCTGAGGGTAGAGAGCCCTGGGAGCAGCTGCCGCCACAGCGTACAGGCCTGGGGAACCCCGGGAGCAGCTGCTGCCATGCACTGGGCTGGGAAACCCCGGGAGCAGGTGCTGCCACTGTGTGTGGGGCTGGGGAACTTCGGGAGCAGCTGGTGCCCAGTGTGCAGGCCCAGAGAGCCCCAGGAGCAGTCGCCATCGCGTGCGGGGCTGGGGAATCTTGGAAGCAGAAGCAGCTGCTGCTGCCACACATGGAGCTGTTAAAACAAGACACGGAGCTGTTAAAACAAGACAGGGAACCCTGGGAGCAGCTGCTGCCCTGCGTGGGCTCAGTGTAGGGAGCAGAGCCCTGCAAGTTCTGTTCTGTTTGGACACAGACTGGCTAACCTTGTAAGGAGGGCTTTAAACTAGGTTTGTTGGGGGCAGGTGAGCAAAGCCCACAGGTAAGTGCTGCATGTGCGGGACTGGGAGATGGGTTGGAAATGGGGGGGACTACGGCTGAGTTTGGAAGCAGAGAGAGCAGGGGACACTGCCCCCCTAGTCTTTTAAAAGAAGAATGAACAGTTCTTCCCTGTTCATGTTTTTGTTTCTTCAACAGGGAAGAGTGGGCAGGTCTAAGACAAACATGCTGAGCACATTCTGTCAGGAAGGACAGACAGGGAAAAAAGGGAGGAGGGGTTGCCTTGTATATTAAAAATGTACACACTTGGACTGAAGTGGAGATGAACGTAGGAGATAGCTGTGTAGAGAGTCTCTGGGTTAAGCTAAAAGGGGTAAAAAACGAGGGTGATATCATGCTAGGAGTCTACTACAGGCCACCTAGCCAGGTGGAAGAGGTGGATGAGGCCTTTTTTAAACAATTAACAAAACTATCCAAAGCCCAAGATTTGGTGGTGATGGGGGACTTCAACTATCCAGACATATGTTGGGAAACTAACACAGCGAGGCACAGGCTATCCAATAAGTTTCTGGACTGCATTGGAGACAACTTTCTGTTTCAGAAGGTTGAAAAAGCTACCAGAGGAGAAGCTGTTCTGGATTTGGTTTTAACAAATAGGGAGGAACTAGTTGAGAACTTGAAAGTGGAAGACAGTATAGGGGACAGTGATCATGAAATAATAGAGTTCATGATCTTAAGGAAAGGTAGAAGGGAGACCAGCACAATTGAGGTTATGGATTTCAGGAAGGCAGATTTTGATAAGCTCAGAGAACTTGTAGGTAAGGTCCCATGGGAAGCAAGACTGAAGGGAAAAACAACTGAGGAGAGTTGGAAGTATTTCAAAGGGACGTTGTTAAGGGCCCAAAAGCAAACAATTCCGCTGTGTAGGAAAGATAGAAAATATGGCAAAAGACCAGCTTGGCTTAACAAGGAGATCTTGCATGATCTCAAAATAAAAAAGGAGTCATATAAAAAATGGAAACTAGGACAACTAACAAAGGATGAATATAGGCAAGCAACACGGGAATGCAGGGGCAAGATTAGAAAGGCAAAGGCACAAAATGAGATCAAACTAGCTACAGGCATAAAGGGAAACAAGAAGACCTTTTATAAATACATTAAAAGCAAGAGGAAGACCAAGGACAGGGTAGGCCCACTGCTTAGTGAGGAGGGAGAAGCAGTAACAGGGAACTTGGAAATGGCGGAGATGCTCAATGACTTCTTTGTTTCGGTCTTCACCGAGAAGTCTGGAGGTGTGCCTAACGTAGTGAATACAAGCAGAGAGAGGGTAAGTTTAGAAGATAGGATACACAAAGAACAAGTTAAAAATCACTTAGGAAAGTTAGATGTCAGCAAGTCACCAGGTCCTGATGAAATGCATCCCAGGATACTCAAGGAGCTGATAGAGGAGGTATCTGAGCCTTTAGCTATGATCTTTGAAAAATCATGGCAGACAGGGGAGATTCCAGAAGACTGGAAAAGGGCAAATATTGTGCCCATCTATAAAAAGGGGAATAAGAACAACCCAGGAAATTATAGACCGGTCAGTTTAACGTCTGTCCCAGGGAAGATAATGGAGCAGGTAATTAAGGAAATCATATGCAAACACTTGGAAGGTAATAAAGTGATAGGGAATAGCCAGCATGGGTTTGTGAAGAACAAGTCATGCCAAACTAATCTGATAGCTTTCTTTGATAGGATAACGAGCCTTGTGGATAAGGGAGAAGCGGTGGATGTCATATACCTAGACTTTAGTAAGGCATTTGATACGGTCTCGCATGATATTCTTATTGATAAACTAGGCAAATATAACTTAGATAGGGCCACGATAAGGTGGGTGCATAATTGGCTGGATAACCGTAGTCAGAGAGTTGTTGTTAACGGTTCTAAATCCTGCTGGAAAGGGATAACAAGTGGAGTTCCTCAAGGGTCTGTTTTGGGACCCGTACTGTTCAATATCTTCATCAATGATGTAGATATTGGGATAGAGAGTACTCTTATTAAGTTTGCAGATGATACCAAACTGGGTGGGGTTGCGACTTCTTTGGAGGATAGGGACATAATTCAAAATGACCTTAGCAAGTTAGAGAAATGGTCAGAGGTAAACAGGATGAGGTTTAATAAGGAGAAATGCAAAGTGCTCCACTTAGGAAGGAACAATCAGTTCCATACATACAAGATGGGAAGCGACTGTCTAGGAAGGAGCATGGCGGAAAGGGATCTAGGGGTCATAGTGGACCACAAGTTGAATATGAGTCAACAGTGTGATGCTGTTGCAAAAAAAGCAAATATGATTCTAGGTTGTATTAACAGGTGTGTTGTAAGCAAAACTCGTGAAGTCATTCTGCCGCTCTACTCTGCGCTAGTTAGGCCTCAGCTGGAGTACTGTGTCCAGTTCTGGGCGCCACATTTCAAGAAAGATGTGGAGAAATTGGAAAGGGTACAGAGAAGAGCGACAAGAATGATTAAAGGTCTAGAGAAGCCTATGAAGCCAGGCTTCATGAACTGGGCTTGTTTAGTTTGGAAAAAAGAAGATTAAGGGGGGACATGATAGTGGTTTTCAAATATCTAAAAGGGTGTCACAAGGAGGAAGGCGAAAATTTGTTCCTCTTGGTTTCTGAGGACAGGACATGGAGTAATGGGCTTAAAGTGCAGCAGGGGAGGTTTAGATTGGACATTAGGAAAACATTCCTAACTGTCAGGGTGGTCAAATATTGGAATAAATTGCCAAGGGAGGTGGTGGAATCTCCCTCTCTGGAGATATTTAAGAACAGGTTAGATAGACATCTGTCAGGGATGGTGTAGGTGGAGCTTGGTCCTGCCTTGAGGGCGGGGGGCTGGACTCGATGACCTCTTGAGGTCCCTTCCAGTCCTATTATTCTATGATTCTATGATTCTAAGTGAGCTGGCAGCAGACTCAGGCAGATGAGCCGAAGGAGGTCAGGTCTCCAGCTTCTCCCGGATACCTGACCTCCCCTGGTCTGGCAAGTTCCCTTGTTCGAGACCACTCTGCTTCCGAAGGTGATGGTCCAGGGATGTCCAACCTGTACCAGACTAATTAAAACATCAAAGCCCTCTTAATAGAGTAAGACCAGGTGTACACTAAAAGTTGGTCCTCTCTAGTCTGGCACCATCAGGACCTGAACAGTGCTGAACTACAGAATTTGACAGGAGGTCAACCGTGGCCTGGAGGCTCTGATGCCAGCCCTGGCTTTGGGTCTCTGTTCCTGGTATCAGCCCAGGCCCAGGGCTTCCCAGACTCCTGCAGCTCTGGTCCCAGCCTGGGGCATTGGACAGAAGTGTAAGGGGGAGGCAGGAAACTTAGCCCCGCTCACAATAAAGCAGACATTTGAATAACTAAAATCATGCTGGACCACAAATGTTGCTGGACCAGAGAATGCCAAACCAGAGAGGTTCAATCTGTACAAAATGTTACCAGTACAGCTATCATCAGTTTGATGGCAACCTCTCCCTCCCACTTCAAAATAGATGCAGTTCTACCAGCAAAAGAGTTCCTTTGCCAATAGAGGTGCCATTTGAAGAGATTTACCCATACCAATAAAATATACTTATGCCAATATAAACTACATCTCTGCTAGGAGGCTCTGCCATGATAGATATACCAATACAGCTAAATCAGCAAAGCTTTCCTAGTGTAGACTCACAGTTATGTCAGTATAGAAGTAGTTATATCAATATAGCATATTGTTCCCCTATTAGTTCCCCAGCCAGTACAAAATATACTGGAGTAAGTACTTTTAAAATGATATAATTTTGGGAGGGGAGGAGGAGGAGTGCATAGCTATACAAGCTAAATATTCCAATGTAGATGTGATCTTAGATACAGCAGAAAAGCATTTCTACTAGATGAGTTTTGAAGCTTTCCTTATAAACAGACTAATATTACCTCATTCTATAGATGAGTAACCTCAATCAGGAATTTTCTAACTCCAGATCCATCATGCCAGAATTTGACTCTCTCCCGGATATTCATCATATATGACAAACAGAGATAAACATGAGAAAGGATTTCCTCATTTTCTTTCTCTGCTTCCACAAAGGAAGTCACAACAAAAGCAGCTCCTTATTCTTTCCAAGTTCTAATTTTTCTTGACATTTCTTTTATCTCATTCACCAGATGGCCCATAGTCCTCTTCTCAGATTCAGAATTGGTTGCTTCTGGAAATCCTCTTCCCCTCCTTTCTCATCAGAACAGCTAATGTCTGTAGAGTGAGAGATGCTTGCTCAGTGCTGTGCATGCAGACAGATTCTGCAGTGAGTAGATATAGACGAAATAAGCATTTTCTCCCTTCTTGATCTGACTTTCAATACTTAGTTTGTGTCTGAACTCTCAAATTCCGCTGGTCAAGTTAAACCAGTATCCCAACTGTTAACACACAGGCATTTGGCATAGAGGACTGTACTAGTTAAATTAAACTACAAATCCTTTTTTAAAAAAAGTGGCACAACTTGTATATTTAGACCAGAGCTTGGGGGGAAAAAACTGGGAACAAGTCCAGGAAATGCTTCTCTTGTGACAACTGTCATGCAGCAGAGGAGATAACAAGGTAAAGAGGCCAAATTTTACACAATTGCCTCTGCTGCCTGCAAATGATAAGAGGAAAATTACAATCAAGTGAAAAATTGAAGTATAAGGACTGGGCTCCAGTGCTGTGGGGCTTGGGCTCGGACTCCAGTCCTCAGCAGCCAGACCTCATCAGCCCCAGTGCTGCCCCACCCGGCCAGGGCTCTCCAGGCACTGGGATCGCAAGGCCCTTGCTGCCTCACCTGACTGGGGATCCCTGGGCCTCACCTTTCACTGCAAGCCTAGGATGGAGCTCCCCAGGAACGGGGCTCACTGGCCCCCGCTGCTGCTGGCCCAGGCAGGGGCTCCTGGCAAGCTCTCACTCCCACTGCCAGGGCTCTCTGATCCAGCAATATCTGTTGTCCTGCCAGACCACAGATGTTGCCAGACCAGAGTGTCCCAGATTTAGGAGGCTCAATTTGTACTAGTATTACTTCCTATATGTACAAACTTTTACAATGGCACTAGTGGGATTCTTGAACTGGATAGGAAGAAAGCAGAGTAGGAGTGGCAAAATAGCACTGTAGAAATTCTTGGAAGGGGCAAAGTAACATGTCTTTGCTCTGCACTCTCACAATCTCAACAGTACCTGGATTGTTGTTCCCTTCCAGTCCTATTATTCTATGATTCTATGATTCTAAGTGAGCTGGCAGCAGACTCAGGCAGATGAGCCGAAGGAGGTCAGGTCTCCAGCTTCTCCCGGATACCTGACCTCCCCTGGTCTGGCAAGTTCCCTTGTTCGAGACCACTCTGCTTCCGAAGGTACCGGACAAGGGAGGTTCAACCTGTATTAACTAAACTACGCAAAATGTAAAACATCACAGCATCCTTACTGGCCATAGAGTAAGATCAACTCAAAATACTACACAAGTGCACTGAGCAAGGAATAATGTAATTTTACCAGTTGCCTTGTACAATTCCTTTAGGTGTCCTTCAGGCAGCCTGATCTGATGGACAGTGAGATCCACTGTGCCTCCTCCACTGTCAACAACTATATAACGGTCACCTGTTAAGCAACAGAAACAAGTACTCATCACTTTCATCAGCATCAACACAGCAGTCCACAGGCAACACTGTCATCATTCCAAGCACAAAGCCACAAATATCAGTACTTAGGACAACTGGCTTGATAATTAACACTTCCCTTATAAATCACTGCAAATTATTTCATTTGGAAGTAAAACTTGTATATGGAATGCTACAGATTTAAGCACCCATGGTTGAAGAATGTACATTTACAATCAATAGAGTTGTCCACACCATCTGTGTACATTCCATTGTGTTAACAGTTCTGCAGAAATGTTACAGCTAAGGATGTTAAATATCGACTAATTGACTAATCGAATAGTCGATGCATTTTGCAGCAGTCCACAGCCAACAGTGTGGACTGCAACAACAGCCCTAGGGCTGTTGCTACATTTCAAAAGCAAAAGTGCCGCATGGAGCTCAGTGCCGCATGGAGCTCCTGGGCTCCATGCGGCGTTATCGCTTTGAAAAGCTGCGTGCAGCCTGGCGGCAGCTGGGATATCCCCAGACTGCATGCAGTGTTTCAAAGCGGCAGCGCTGCATGGAGCCTGGGATCAACAGGGCCTCTCTTGCTGACCCCAGGCTCCGTGTGGTACTGCCACTTTGAAACGCCATGGGGAGCCCGGTGTCAGGCTCCTCGCGGCATTTCAAAGCGGCAGCACTGCATGGAGCCCGAGATCAGCTGGGGACTCCCCAGCTGATCTCGGGCTCCATGCAGTGCTGCCGCTTTGAAATGCCGCGAGGAGCCTGACACCGGGCTCCCCATGGCGTTTCAAAGTGGCAGTACCACACGGAGCCTGGGGTCAGCAAGAGAGGCCCTGTTGATCCCAGGCTCCATGCAGCGCTGCCGCTTTGAAACACTGCATGCAGTCTGGGGATATCCCAGCTGCCGCCAGGCTGCACGCAGCTTTTCAAAGCGATAACGCCGCATGGAGCCCAGGGTCTAGCCCCAGGCTTCACACAGCACTGTTACTTTGAAGTACCCTCTCCTCTTCCCCCCACCCTTTCTGCCTCTTTCTGATAAGAGACAGCAAGGTGGAGGTGCGGGGAAAGCAACTAGTCAACTAGTCCTTCACATCTCTAGTTACAGTGTCACCCTTCTTACGAATTGCACTCTAAGGACTCTATACTCTGGCTTGTATTTTTAAATCTCAAGTTTGTCCTTCTTATAATCCATCAATTTAACAATAAGTGCTTTTCTAGACCATGCAAAATTCTAACTCAGCCTTGTAGACAAAGAGCAGTGCAGGCACTTGTATTTGCCTTTAAATTATAGTCATTTTGAAAACACAAAAACACATAAAAAATTTGTGGGAAACATTTGGTTTTTTTTTTTTGCCAGCAATATGAAAAAAGCGAGAGCAAAGATAATTCAGGAAAGGACACTACCTTCCTCCAACTCAGACCAGATCTCTCCTATGACATTTTCCACCAAAAAGGTGCGGCTTTGCCGATTACGACGTACGTGTTCCTTGGCTAATCATTGACAGAGAGAAAATTACTAAGTATAAGGAAACAGGAACAAGCTGATGAAGTACAATGCAAGAAGCACATGCAATCAGAAAGAAAGCTTTCTATGTATCATTTGATAAGTTCTAACAAAACAAATGAACCTACATTAAAACTAGGAATTAAATTGAATTCTTGAAAAGGAAAAAAACCCAGATATTCTGTTATTTAGTTATAACAACTGCATTTCAAATAATGCTCTAAGATTTTAAAAGCATTCTTTGTAGTACTTACGCATTATACTTTTAATACATAAAATGAAAACTAGATTCTAGAAATGCCAAGAGGCATTTTTGCCAGTAGGTGGCACACTTGATGCATAATACAATAATCAAGGAATTAAAGACACTTCAGCCAAGATTTTCAAAAGTGATTGTCGATTCTGGGTGCCCCTATTTTTGGTGGCTCAGGCTGAGCTCCCTTAAGGGGGCCTGGCTTTCAGAGGGTGGGTGCTCAGCACCTTCTGAAATTAGTACCCTTCAGAATATCTTCAGCTGAACACCCACAATCCTTAATTACTTCTGAATATCTTGGCCTTTGTCAGTTTTGTGCTATGGCATGGGTTGTAGGAACAAATCCTGGCTATTTTACTCAGGCAAACCTCCCACTGGATTCCAGTTTTACTTAATGGAGGACTGTAAGATTTGACTCATTAACATGTATGCACATACCAGCACAGATCAATTTATATATATATGATTTAAAAATGAAATACAAATCTAGTAAGACATGCAAAAAGCAGTCATGTAGCACTTTAAAGACTAACAAGATGGTTTATTAGGTGATGAGCTTTCATGGGGCAGACCCACAATTGTGGGGCAGACCAGACCCATTGTGGGTCTGCCCCACGAAAGCTCATCACCTAATAAACCATCTTGTTAGTCTTTAAAGTGCTACATGACTGCTTTTTTTGTTTTACCAAGATCAGACTAACACAGCTACCTCTCTGACATAGTTATATCATTAATTCACGCTATGAAAATCCACCCAGACATTAAAAATATTTAATGTGATTTGCTAGTGTCTCTATTAATGTCGTTCTAAATTCAGTTTGTGCAACTGATTACTAAATAATTTCTAATCTAACTTTCATTCATCTTTAAAGTTAATCTATGGTATACTAAAGAAAAAATGCAGACACATTCCATGATATAGCAAAACACTGTTTTGTCTGAAAAAATATTATATAAAACTAGAAAAAAGTACATTTACAATATATATACCTAAGAGGCCAATTATATTTTGCAAGATAATGATAATACTACCCTTTGCCTATTAGCTTATGCTTCCCCTCCTAATACAAATTTATTCTCAGTATTATGAAAAGTACAACTTTTGTTTTGACTACACTAAAACAGTCCTTCAAGTGCTTCTCTCTGTTTATGTTTAAAGAGTTTTCCTTCTTGGTCTCTTCTCAGCTTTGCTTGGGTCCCTGCCCATGCCTTCATTGAATTTTAGACTGAAGACTAAATTAATTCACTCAAAGCCTTGTTTCTATTAATTCTGACTGAATTAAATCCTTTTTTATCTACACCAACTTTTACCTTATAAAGTCAAGAAAAATAACTGACTTTTAACAGAATCCTACAACATGGTGAATAGATTTTGTTCAACAGCCCAGTCCTGTAGACCCCTTTAACCAAACAAAGAGAAAAAAATAGTTTTATTTTCATAGAGACAAATTTCCTGGGAGCCCAAGTAAGGGGTCACGGAAGGTTTTGAGCATGTGGAATCGGTGTGGCTCAGCTATACAGAGGATGGGGCAGAATGTGTGAACCCCTATGTTCTGTAAGAACTATGCTCAGCAGGGGCTACATCAGCTAGAATCAGGATGGCAGCCATATGACAGGGGCAGAGGCATGACTAGAACATCTACAAATATATGGTTGCACTAGCCAAAAATCACTTTTTTAGGGGTGCACCACTGCTTAGACTCCAACTGTAAAGAAATTCTGTGGTCTAGGCACTGGAGGGAGGCTGTTATCCTCCTGCCCATTAAGAGACACCCTTGGGCAAACCCACGTAACATAAAAAACAACAAATAGTCTGGTAGCACTTTAAAGATAATAAAATATGTAGATGGTATCATGAGCTTTCGTGGGCACAGCCCACTTCTTCAGATGACCAGAACCAAAATCATATCCAACATTCTGGTTATCTGAAGAAGTGGGCTGTGTCCACAAAAGCTCTTGATAGTATCTACATATTTTGTTAGTCTTTAAAATGCTACCAGACTGTTTGTTGTTTTTTAAGCTTTTCCTGTTACAGACTAACTCGGCTACCCCTCTGAACCACTTAACATAGGCTTTGTGCAGGGGTGAGGATTTTACCTGTGGTACTATTGAAAACCAGCATTAGGTTCTTTGTGGTATGGACAGAACTAAAATTGTGGTGGCTAAATATTATTTCATTTAGATAAATAAGATGCTGTTTTATTAAAAGGACTCAATCAATTTTACTAATTATGAATTTTCTGGGGGCAAACTGGGTCATCACATCCTGTTAACTAAAAGAATGGCTTCCATTAAGTACCAGGAGATATAAAATGTCTTGAATGAGTTTATTAGCTGAATCTTCCATTTGTGTTTGCTGTTTTGAGCTGGAAAACATGACAGAGATCTTTTACCAAATTCTATGCTGCTGTAAACACATTTTGCTGTAAGCACAATTCCCCAGCTGTCAATGTAGCTGCACCAGTTTAAAATAGCAGATAATTTGGACCTTCATTGTCCCTTACTCACTGTGGAGATTCTAACTCAATCAGAATGGCAATTTTCAAAAACTTCTGCAGTGAAAGATGATCCATCTGCAAACTAGTTAAATTACACTCACAATGTCTGCCTCTCAATGTAAATGAATCTGCACCAATGTTCCCTCTAAACTGCATGGCAGCACAGACTCACAGATGATTAATCAGACCCCTCCCCCAGTCAGCTCCTGCAAAGAGCCCTGAGCCTGACTGGGCAGGGCTGATTAATCACCTGTGAAGCTGTGCTGCCCCTCAGCTTAGAGGGGATACTGGTCTGCACCAAACCTACCACATGAGCAAGTAAAAACTCCACGTTCACAGTCACAATAGATAACACACCATGATATCTGAAATACAATAAATACGTAGTTTCTAAGTTTGGAGAAAATGCCGTGCCATATCACACAACACAACTTTGCTAACTACTGGTGATTGCTGACAATTTCTTGGTAACTAATGTAATTATGAACCAAAAATTATTAAGTGCCCAACTCGTGACATAAATTCCAGAAACATCAATGGCAAATTAAGGTGTAATCTGTTATTAAATTAATACAGCTAGTTTAACACATCATGGTTAGCTCACAATAATAACCTTAAATCTGCACTAGGAAACAATTAGCTATCACATTAAAACAGAGGAGTAAGGCTCCAATCCTGCACACACTATGCCTTTGCTTAACTTCAAACCTGTGAGCAGTTCCTCATGTCTCAGTAAAGTCAATAGTGCTACCTGCACACTAAGGCTATGTCTAGACTATGCTCTATTTTTGAAAGAGAATATGCAAATTCCGATCTTTCAAAAGTGAAAGTAGTTTGGACGCAGGTTTTTTTTCTGGGAAAAAAAACCGCTTTTTCAAAAATAAAACAACAACAAAAATGCTCTTTCTTAAAAAATGAGGTTTATGTGATTTTTTTCGCAAAAAGGGGAGTTTTCCCGGACACTTGTGAAAGATCCTCTTTCGAAAGTGAGCTCGGAAGAAGATATGCAAATTCCTGAAGAATTGCATATCCTCTTTCGAAAATAAAGCATAGTTTAGATCTACCTTTAAGGTTAAGCACTGTGCACATCCTTTTGCCAGATCAGTGCCCAAAAGAGCAAACTAGTGAAGTTTTCCCATAAGAGCCCGTAATGTTCCACTAACAGAGAGAGGCAATGATAACCTTCAGGAAATGGTAAGAAAACTGTCCTCATGACTAAATCTAATGCAGGCCAAAGGCACTAAATCTCAAGTCAGTTAGTAGAAAAGGTACCCTGTGTAAATCCAGCTCCTACGGTGTCACTAGAGTTAAAACCATTGACGGGTGCTTTGCTGCTCAGGTCTATCATCTGGTGAAGGCGCAGCTTTCTGCAGTAGATGGAAGCAGCTTCGGGTTCCAAGGCAATTATCAGCTGCTCCGGGTTTTCAGGAGTTGCCATTCCTGCCTGCGAGACAGAATAATTCAGTGAAGTGGGGTGGGAAAAAATGTAACCAAACAGTCTTCACCTTAGACTGGTTTGGAAGGTGAACAACGAACATTTAAACCAGCTCTGCATTTTTTTTCTAAGTTAAATGCCACTAGAAAGCTGCTAAACCACTGGCTAAGGAGCTTGGCTTGGAAAAAATTATGTCTTCACTTTCCACAACTTTGCAGGTTGTAACTGGGTAAGATGCATGCACTTCCCATGCTTAGTATCTAGTTAATGAGGTGATCGCTGTATATGATAGGCAGAGAGAGTGAGCAAGAGAAGACATATTGAAATCCAGAGTGACCTGGCTAAAATCGTTGTCATCTGAATCTAAACTTTTCAAGAGTCCCAACTGTCTGTCAAGAAACGGAGAAATACCTTTGCCCTGCTTTCATTGTAACAATAACATGAATTCACCACTTGTTTTATATCCTATCACTGCACAAAACAAAGTGGATGATTCAGTGCTTATTGTATCAGCCCAGCAAATTTTGTTCACATCTGTGGTATGAGTGAAGAATTTCCACAAGCAACTCTGTATGAAACTCTTTTGATTTAGGGCTGACTTTTCCTATTCCTGTCACTTTAACACACATCCATATTCTGCAAGAATTTTAAAATGTTCAGTATTGCCAACCCATGCATTTCAAATCACGTCTTAGACCTGCAAAACATCATGAGATTGGCTTAAAAATCAAGAAAATTTGTAAAAACATTTACAGTTCTTTTTATTTGCCTTCCAGTTTGTGAGTATTTAGGGGGTCAATCTTACTCAATATAATTACTCAAGATTTTCTCTACAACTGTAAGGGCTGCAAATGTACTTCTCCCCTTACTCCCCATGGAAGTTAAGATTCTTATGTAATCACATGCCTGCAAATGTTGGGGCTTTAAAACAAAATACCAAATATCACGTAACTTGACAACCAGAGATGTAAAATCCCATTTAAAAAGTTCACCATTAACCAGTTAACTGGAATCCTGCAGCGGGGAGCTGCTCCAGCCCGGCCAGGCCCACCATACCACAGGTTGTTTCGGCCAGGCCAGGCCGAGCCAAGCCCATTGCACTGCAGATGGGGGCTGCTCAGGCTGGGATGGGCCCGTTTCACTGCACCATGGCTGGGGACTGGTCTGGGTGACCCAGGCAGGGCTCGCTGCACCAGGCTATGGGCAGTGGGCATCTCCAGCTGGGCTGGGCAGATGCTGCTGCACAATGCCACAGACTGCTCCAGCCAGGCCAAGCCATGCTGCTGGTTGACTGATTACCCCAGTAAAAGCATGCCAGTAAGGCTAATGCTTACTGGATAACAGCTTTACCCTTTACATCTTTATTGGTATCTGCAATTTTGTCCTACTTTTCTCTTCTCCTACAAGCTCCTGTGTGTTCCCCTAGACTCTGATTTTTTCTTATAACAGGCAACACTGACATTTCCAAGTTCCTTCAGTTCCAACTGAAGTTGAGGTTTTCCTGCTAATATTGTTTATTAGTAAACTATATTCCTTAGTGTTAAAACATTTTAGTAAGGAAGAGAATAGGCTTTTGGTGTATTTGTTTTCATTGTCAATCTCCCAGGCAACTCTGGTTGAGAGCTTTCCAAAAAAGACATAATTACTCAAGATGTAAGCAAGCCTTTAAAAGTACAAAAAACAAACAAAAGAGGCTCAGATGAAAAAACAGCAGATTTGAACCGGAAACCAAAAGAGTTCACATAGTTACACTTCACACTAAAGTAACAGGACACCTGTTGGTTGTGTGTGCTGGGAAAGAATTTAGTTTGTATGAGAAAGTATAACTGCAAATAAAGCTTGTTCTTAAAACAGTGCTCAGCACAAAGAAAGTGATATTTTTCACCATTTGTCTTCTTGTCACCTTGCTGTTTCCCTCTCACTTGTAACCATAAAAAAACCTGTATTTACAACAAAAGCATCTTTCCCCCTACAGCTACCGGGAAAGTCGAAAAGGAGAAACTATATGGTAAGTAAATTCCCACTCCACAAAGTAGGAGTAAACTAACAAGAACTGTTCACTGATTTCAAAGCACACAAACCATGAAACTTTGTGGACTGTGATCAATACATTATGGACCAAATTTGGATAATTTTACTCACTCTGAGTGGCATTTTACTTCACAAGTCATCTCATTGAATTCAGTCAGGCTATTTATGGAGTAAGGTACTGTTCAACATGAGTATGGGTATCATATCTGACCACTTAACTCATATTATATATACTAAAAAATCCTATGTTAAAAGAAAGGAAATGACAAGCATACAGTTGCCCATGCAAACTCACTATTACCCCATTTTGTGTCTAACCTATGCATTGAAGGAGGCAAGATTCCTGTGAAAAAAGCTATGTAAAAAACAGTATGTGATAATATAACTAAAAACAGTAACAAACAGCAGATGCACAAGAGGTCAGAATGAAGGTTGCATGTTCAATTGTCAATTAGGCATTTCCTAACATTGAAATGTGACTTTGCAACCAAAATACATTTTTTGGTGCAGCTTTTTACATTCAAATTCCTAAGTGTATTGTTTTCTAAAAGAAAAAGGTAGAAACTAATTCTATGTGCAACTATAATAACTGCCTCTCCATACAATACATCACCAGCAAGGTTTGAACCAGAACTTTCAGCATTTTAGTACAGACTTACACTCTTTGAGCTATAGGACTAACTACATCAGCAAGCAGTAGTAGTCTGTTAGCCTCTTGGGGACTGGATGAGCTGTTGATGCCATGTGTTGGAGCCAGTGGGTAGTCAAGGCCTGACCTGATGCACTGTCTCTCCTCCCCAGAGTGGTTCCTGCCACAGACAGTGCCTTTTAGAGGGGAGATAGGACTCTAAGGTCATGTACTGTGTCCCAGGGATATGCCTGGTGACAGCAATCCAGCCTGCTCTACCTCTTTCCTCTGTGTCGCTCCCACTGCCCTTTGGCATTCCCAGTACAGTGTATGTTGCTGCTGCTGCAGAAGCAGTGACCCAAGACTTGCTCTTTAGAATGCATTTTGACATACACAAAACAATATCCTGGGGAATACATGCAGGAGAAGGCATATGGCAATTTTAACAGTTGATAACTCAACTAAACCTGAATGGAATTTCATGAGGAGAAAAAAAAAGGTATTTTTCTAACCCAAGAGCTTTCTCCCTGCAAATTTCAAAGGCCAGCTGCAAACAACAGAGGTGTCAGTATGTCTCAAAAAATAAAACACACACAAAAAAAGAAATTGCAAGAATTTTTAACCCTGAAAAGTAGTATGCAACCTAAATCTAGGGGTCCCTACCAGCTCTCCCAAAAACAGATTAAACACTTTTGTACAATGTAACATTGAAACACATGTATGTAGAAACACAGAAACACATGTATGTAGAAACAGAATGTGTTGATTTGTGGCAAGGAATGTGGTGCTGAAACTTCCCTTGCAATAGCACCCTCAGTGTGAATGGTACATACACATAAAAGAGTGTCGTTATCTCATGAAGTTTATGATATAAGTGGAGGACACATACTCAAGGATCATGGTCAAGTACAGAGCATACAAAAGAGCTAGACAAAGAAACAGGAATATCAGATTGTGGCTGCTAAAGATGTTAAGGCCTCGCTCTCCGGGACTAAGTGTAATTTTTGTCTTTATGTCTTTCTTTCTGCCTTTTTCATGCTCTCAGATGTATGCACACATATACATGTGCACTATTAAAAGGGGAGATTTAGGCATTAGAGGGTTGTAATAGGGATGGATCAGGAAAAGGGCCTTGGGATGGGGCCAAATTGGTGTGACCATACTAAAAGAACAATGTGAGCAGAACCCGACATAATTTAAACATGGATTTAAACATTTAAACAGAGGATTCTTGGAGCAGGTCCTCTCTAAGCATACATGAACCGAAGTAAACTTAATAAGTGAAATTGGCAAGGATTGTGAACTCAGCTGCACGTATAATCATACTGGATGTATTGGTCGATAAATATGGGCCCATACAAAAGTAAATGTATGACTGAAATTCCAGTACAAAGCACAAGCTGACTTGGTCATCATAACCTAACAGCAAAAGATCATGCATAAGCCAGAGGAAATAATTGATGAGTGAGTAAAAATGGGGGGATTTTGGGTATCACCCTGTTTAGCCCATTCCAAAAATACTAATTAAGTACAAATAAGTAACAACACACTTTCTGGGAAAGGCTTTTAAGACATGTGACTCCTTTGAGGAAAGAAAGTACAAGAATTAAGCAAAATAAATTACTGGCTGTGAGAATTTCTTAATTCAAGCTCCTGAAGATGCCAATGACACTCTGTTTTGTGGATTATGGGACAGTGAACCAGAAGGCTTTTAAGGCAACCAAGGCCTTGCTTCAGGCCAGAAAACTGGGAAGAAGGAACAAAGAGAAAAGTAGCAATCTATAGATTGATAACCACCTTCCCTCTTTGCCAGGCAGGCAGGCACTGTGTGGGGTAGGGATGCAAAATCCTGTTTAATTGGTTAACCAATTAACCTTTCACATCCCTAGTGTGGGGCCAGCACAGGAACTGTCCATGAATGTTTGTGAATGAGAGGCTTGCTTAAGGGAATGTACAGTTTCTAATGTATTGCTATGTCTAACATAGGAGTTGTGTGCTTGATGTAACCTGTTTACTGCTGGTAGATTTCCTTCTCAATGAACTTGCCTGGCAGGCCTGGGTTAAATTCTTTGGTTTGACCTTTTTTACTGAGAGCAAACAGTAACCATCTCCACTGGGAGCCCTTAAAGAGCCATTGTGTGTAGGGGGGAGATAGAGAGAGAGGGGCAGGGATAGGCCCCAGCCTCTGGACTGCTCAACAGGCCATAGGATTTGACTCTATGTAGACCACCATGGAGATGCTGTGGCTCCTCTCCAGCTAGGCCATGGGACACAGCACTACAGCCTCACATCCTGACTCAAGACTGGAGGGGTGGATTTCCCCTCCCTAGTCCACTCAATTTGCATAAAGCTCAGCTACCCATGTGACACCACAGAAGAGAATCTGTGTTTTTTCTACTGTATAAATGCATAAAAGCCAACCCATGCCAACACAAGGACAAGGGTAATTTGTTTCTTATTGTATGTCTATACTACAAAATTAGGTCGCTTTTATTTAATTTAGCTTTGAACATTTGATTTAACAAATGACATTTTGCATGTCCCCACTGGGTGGCTATGGTCAACGGAGCAAATTCTTACTACCAGAGGTTGCATCAACTCAAGGAGAGATGCACAGTGGGTAGCTATTCCATAATCTCTGCAGCAGATTGGAATTCTGGGCTAGGGTCCCAGTGCCTCCTGGGATGTGTGCATACCGGAGAAGATGCTAAAAATGTTCTTAAAAAATCGATATATAGTATGTCTGGAAAATGGCCACATGATTAAATGCCAGGTAGCACCAAGTGAAAAGAGGTTACGCTAGCCATAAAAACGGATAATTCCTTTAGGACAGCATGTCATCAACAGTGCTGCACTGCTAATACTTGTATCAGTACTTGTATTTCTTATTTAGAGAATGTCAGCCACTAAAGATCAGCCTCTGTGTGCCACTGCCTCTCTCCCTACCTCACCCCCATTCAGTTGTGCACACTCTATCTTCAAAGGACCACCGGAAGCTCCAATACTTAGTAGTCCAAGAGTTCAAATTGCATAGAAAAGGCTCTAGTCTCAGGATTGCAGAAGCAGCTCAAGATCTATTGTGCACTGTAGCATAGATAACCGAATAGGGATAAGGTGTTAGCTTGCTGATACAGATACATCTTTTGCTTGGCAGGCAGGCTCTGTAGAAACTGGGACCACTGGAGTGCATGACACCTACAACATATGCTAGCAATAATTTCTTATGACCAACAAATCTAATGACCAACAAACCTAAGGCTTGGAAAGTGTTAGACTGGCTGCAAATTAGCAAACATTTAGGTCTGCATTTTGTCTCATGATAGCTCCATATCACTAAGTAGTTCTCAGTCATTTGAAATGCAGAATTATCATCACCA